ACTCATGGGCCCTGATTATTGTTTGGGTCTCCTCTTAAGGGGTTCAAAAGAAGGAAGTGTTTGTTTAATAGTGGGTGATTCTCTGTTTTGACAGATTAGGTCATGTAATTGCTTATTTACGGAGAGTGTTCCTTTCCACAATGCCTCTGATTTGAATTATATGCACTTTATAATTATTTTTTTGTTTTTTAAGACAGGGTTTCTCTGTAGTTTTTGAAGACTGTCCTGGAACTCTCTTTGAAAATCAGGCTGGCCTTGAACTCACAGATATCTGCCTCCCGGGTGCTGGTATTAAAGGTGTGAGCCACCACCACCCTACTATAATTTTCTTTTTAAAAGTGATTTTATTTTTATTTTTTGGTTTTTCAAGACAGGGTTTCTCTGTGGTCTTTGAGGCTGTCCTGGAACTAGTTCTTGTAGACCAGGCTGGTCTGGAACTCACAGAGATCCGCCTGCCTCTGCGTCCCGAGCACTGGGGTTAAAGGCGTGAGCCACCACCGCCCAGCACATTTTATAATTTTAATTTTGCATAGATGGTAAATAATGAATTGTCTCTGAAAGTTTACCTGAGGATACAATTTTGCTTTATGGGTCAGGCACCCAGCTTGTGTTGGATTGGTCTCTCTATCCTGGGATCAGAGTGTATTGGGCATACTGTGGAGCACAGACTGTCCAAGTATGCTGATTGACAAAGAAGACTATTCCCTTGTTCAGAGAGTAGATGCAGCCAGATGTTGGCAGGGACTGAGGATGCTAGATGCATTGTTTGCAGAGAGATGTGTGTATAGTCTGTGCAAATGAAGGGGAATGCTATTGGAACCGAAGAGAGTAGCATGGCGGCACACACCTTTAATTCCAGCACTTGGAAGGCCAAGGCAAGCAACTTTCTGTGAGTTTGAGGCCAGTCCACCTGGTCTACATAGTGAGTTCTAGGACAGCCAGGACTCTGTAGAGAGATCCCATCACGAAAGAAATATAAAACACATTTCCATTCTTTGATTATTTAGAGAACTGAGGAGTGAGAGGGATCTTGGATTTTATTTAAAAATTTTGATTACACTCTGTGTGTGTGTATGCGTGTGTGTGTGCATGTGCATGTGTGTCTGCAGCTCACATATCACAGTAACTGCACAAGTCTGGAGGTCAGAGGACACCAGTGGGAATTGGCTCCTTCTTTTCACCATGTGGGTCCCGTTGTTAAAATGTCTAGGTTCCTGGTCAGGGAATCAATGTTGTTAAAATGTGTAGGTTTACCCAGTAACAAGACACAAACCGTGACTCAATGATCCCATGTGGAGTTTTATTGGTGGACAGCGAGGGAAAGGGGGTGAGAGGAGAGAGAGAGAGAGAGAGAGAGAGAGAGAGAGAGAGAGAGAGAGAGAGAGAGAGAGAGAGAGAGAGAGAGAGAGAGAGAGAGAGAGAGAGAGAGAGAGAGAGAGAGAGAGAGAGAGAGAGAGAGAGAGAGAGAGAGAGAGAGAGAGAGAGAGAGAGAGAGAGAGAGAGAGAGAGAGAGAGAGAGAGAGAGAGAGAGAGAGAGAGAGAGAGAGAGAGAGACAGAGAGAGAGAGACAGAGAGAGAGAGAGAGAGAGAGAGAGAGAGAGAGACAGAGAGAGAGAGACAGAGAGAGAGAGAGAGAGAGAGAGAGAGAGAGAGAGAGAGAGAGAGAGAGAGAGAGAGAGAGAGAGAGAAAGAAAGAAAGAAGATAAGATGGTTTTTTGGTTTTTACGAGACAGGGTTTCTCTGTATTCTCTGTATTGTTTTGGAGGCTGTCGGTCCAGCCCAGCCTCGAACTCACAGAGATCCGCCTGCCTCTGCCTCCCGAGTGCTGGGATTAAAGGCGTGCACCACCACCGCCTGGCCAGGGGTCTGTCCTTTAAAGGGGTCCTTTGCACCTGCAGAGTTCTCACAGAACTCTGGGCTGGCCAGAGTGCTGCCTGAGTGCATCTTGCCATGTAACAGGGCAGGCCAGCGTAATGCCTGAACCTTTCAGATCCCAGGGACCTGAACTCGCAATCGCCTTATCTGCCTCACCGTCTTGCCAGTGTTGGGTCCAAAGCCCCCTCTCTCCCAGCTCCTCTATAACCCGAATGAAGTGTCCACCCCGTGCTCTTCTGAGCTGTGTGGTGTTTTCTCATCTCTCACCCTGTACTTCATCCTTTCCCGTCTCCACTGCTCTCTGGCTTTCCTAGCCCAGTCTGCTTTTCCCTCTGCTCTGGACTCCTCCAGAGGCCTCTGGACCGTCTCTCTCTTAACCACCTTCCCCCAATGGGGCGGTCACGTCGGCAGTTTCTTTACTGCGCCCCCTCAAGCACAACTGGCCCATCTTTTTTTGCTGCTACATTGAATTTATGTTTATGTCAGGCATTCCATTAGTCTATTGTTTGTGAGTTACAGACAGTCTCCTTTGCAAGTAACTAAAATGTCTAAAAATACAAGGCAGAGCTGGGCATGGTGGCTCGTGCTTTTAATCCCAGTGCTGGTGAGGCAGTAACAAATAGATCTCAGTGAATTCAAAACTGGCCTGATCTGCCTAGGTAGTTCCAGGCCAGCCAAGGCTACATAAAGAAGTCCTGTCTCAATCCCAACCACCATTTAAGAAAAAGAAAATAAATATACAAAGCAAAGCTGCTATCATGGTTTTCATGAAATATGTTCATGATGCTTGTCTTCACCTTATATTTGTTAAGTTATGTAAAGACAGGGATGGAAGAAGGAGAGGAAGGAATTTTAATAAGAAAAAGTAAAATAGTCAGAGCCAACTGAACTCAGTATACTGTGCTTCAGATCATTTGGGGGCGGGAGGGAAGGGTACAAGACCTTGTTGTCCATCGCAGAGCAACTGGGGAACTGAATCTTTCAAGTACCTCATTCAGAAAGCCCTCAAGCTAGAGAGCCCTGGTGGAATCAGGAGCCTCAATCCTTTCCTCATTAGCATTTTTATAGAGAAGAACCAAGAAATCAATTCAAGGTCCAGGCTTATCCTTGTGACCAGGTGGCTTTTGTCTCTGAGGTCCCCTCCCCCCTTAGCTCTCCGTCACTCTCTGCATAGCTGGGGAGGTTGTGGACACCAAAGTCAGAGTCTTGCTTTCCTCCTTTAGAATTATTCTTTAGAGCTTTATTTATTTATTTTGGAGACAGGGTCTTACTATGTAGCCTTGTCTGGCTTGGAACTTGCTATGTGGACCAGGCTGGCCTCACACACTGCCTCTGCCTCCCACTGGGGTTAAAGACTTGTGCCACGGCAAGGAGGTAAGTATTTATTTTTATTGTTTTATTTAGGAGTATGCCCGGCTGTCTGTCTGTATGAGCTAAGGCTGCATGTGTGTGGGGACAGAGGGGGCCAGAAGAGGACTTTGGATCCATGGGAGTAGGAGTTGGATCCCTATAGCTGGCTGATAGCACTGGGAGCTGAACTCGGGTCCCCTGGAAGATCAGCAAATTGTCTTAACTGCCGAAGTATTCCTCCAGCCCCTTCATTCCTTCTCTAAAATATTTTTTTAAAAGTGTGTGTGTGTGTGTGTGTGTGTGTGTGTGTGTGTGTGTGTGTGTGTAGCAGAGGGAGGGGTTGCAGACTTTTTATTTTTCCTGACAGGGTTTCTCTGTGTGACAGCTCTGCCTGTTCTGGAACTCACTTTGTAGACTAGGCTGGCCTCAAGAGATCTGTCTGCCTCTGCCTCTTGCCACCGGCTCATACTGACTGGGTTTGCAGACTTTTAATCAGACTGATCTTGCAGCCCTTCTCAAGCAAAGAGAATTCCTGGAAAGAAGCTGCGTCTAAAGAATCAGATTGGCTGATTAGAACTATACAGGCTAGCCACATAGTGGTGTACGCCTTTAATCCCAGCACTCACAAACAAAACCCAAAAAACTATACAGGCTAGGCTGGAACTCCTGATCTTCAGCTCTGCCTCTTTAGTGCTGGAATTGCAGATGTGAGCCACTCAAACCCAGCTCTTTGCTCTTCTTGTTTGTTTTCTGAGACAGGGTTTACTGTGTAGCCTTGACTATCCTGGAACTTGCCCTGTAGACCAGGCTGGTCTTGAACTCAGAGATCCGCCTGACTCTGCTTCCCGAGTGCTAGGATTAAAGATGTGCACCACCACCACCCAGCCCATCCCCTTTGCTCTTTTTAATGTTGGATTCTCTGCCTAGAGATGCTCCTGTCACCATTTTCCCAATGTACAAGTGTGGGAACAAGCATCAGCAAGACCCATGCTTCGCCTCTCTCTCCACATAATGATTCCCTGGGGGAAAGATGGTTCTGAAAACTATCGTGGTCTAGCTATGGGAGTATGGGTACTGTTAGTCATTAATTAGACCACATTCTCTTTGTTCTCAGGTATTTGTTTGTTTTGTTTTCCAAAACAGGGCTTCTCTGTGGCTTTGGAGGCCAGGTTATTCTCAAACTCACAGAGATCCGCCTGCCTCTGCCTCCCAAGCGCTGGGATTAAAGGCCTGTGCCACACCACTGCCCGACTTCTCATGTATTATTATTATTATTATTATTATTATTATTATTTGGTTTTTCGAGACAGGGTTTCTCTGTATTGTTTTGGAGACTGTCCTGGAACTCACTCTGTAGAACAGGCTGGTCTCGAACTCACAGAGATCTGCCTGCCTCTGCCTCCCGAGTGCTGGGATTAAAGGCGCGAGCCACCAACGCCCGACTCCAGCTACTGTTCTTCACCTCTGAGCCATTTTTCTAACCCATTCTTACATATTTGTATTCATGACAGATTTGCCATTTTGCCACAACAGAGAGCCAGCCCCATCAACAGTACAACAAACAAATTCCTCCAAAAATCCACTCCCTTCGTGTCACCAACAGCATGGTGAGAGTAGGAACACTGGTTTCTCTGTGTAGCTCTGCCTGTCTTGGAACTCTCCCTGTAAACCAGACTGTGTGCTATCACCACCTGGCTTCCAAGAATTGTTCCTTATTGTTGATGGTTTGCATGTGACTGAACGAAGTAACTGTTGGTTTGTGGTTTGGCTTACAGTACAAATCGCCTTAGTATTTGGTACAAGAATATTAGACTATGTCTTCAACATATGTGAAGGGAAATTTGACTACCTGGAGCGGCTCTCAGACAAACTGCTGCTGAAGATCATCTACTACCTGGACCTGGAAGATATTGCCAGGCTGTCTCAGACATCGAGCAGGTTTGCAAAGGTAACAGTCCCTGCTGCTGTGTTGACTGCAACAAGAGCCCTTCCACTGAACTAATCTCAGGGATCATTATTGCTCTTTTTCCTTATTTAGGTTTTTGTTATTATGTTTATTTATTGATCTTTCTATTTATTTAATATATATGGGTGTTTGCCTGCATGTGTGTATTATGTACTATGTGTATGCAGTGCCCTTGGAGACCAGAAGAGGGCATCTGATTCTGATCCTCTGGCAGCTGTGAACTGCTAAGCCATGTGGGTGCTGGGAACAGAACAGCTTAACTCTTTTTTTGTTTTGTTTTGTATTTCGAGACAGGGTTTCTCTGTGGCTTTGGAGCCTGTCCTAGAACTCACTCTGTAGAGCAGGCTGGTCTCGAACTCACAGAGATCCACCTGCCTCTGCCACCCTGGTGCTGGGATTAAAGGCATGTGCCACCACCTGCAACAGCACTCTTTTTTTTTTTTTTTTTTTTTTGGTTTTTTGAGACAAGGTTTCTCTGTATTGTTTTGGAACAACAGCACTCTCTTAACTGCTGAGCCATCTCTCCATATCCATACCTGAGCATGCTATCTCTATCTATCTATCTATCTATCTATCTATCTATCTATCTATCTATCTATAGATATAAGGATCTCTGTAGTACATGCTAGTCTTGAACTCACCTTCCCCTTCCTTCCTTCCTTCCTTCCTTCCTTCCTTCCTTCCTTCCTTCCTTTCCTTCTTTGTTTTTTTGTTTGGTTTGGTTTTTCAAGACAGGATTTCTCTATGAAGCCCTGGAACTCACTCTGTAGACCAGGGTGGCCTCAGGGATCCACCTGCCTCTGCCTTGTAAGTGCTGGGCTTAAAGGCAGGCATGTGCCACCACATTCAGTTTAGCCTTGACTTTGAATCTTCTGTTTTTACCTCCCAAGCTTTGTGATTATAGGCCATACTGCCATGACCAGCTTATTTTTCCTTTGAGACAGATGAAACAGTGACTTTGAACTAGTGGCAATCCTCCTGCCTCAGTCCCCCCAAATTCTGGGATTATAGATGTGACCTACCATGCCTAGTCTACTTGTGTTTAATCTCCACAGCCATTTGTTGAATCCTGCTCTGTGAAAGACACAAGCAACTAAGATGGTATTATTCCCACACTCAAAGAATTTACTATCAGATATCAGATTGCTTTAAGGATATAGGAGATTACAGTATAATGTGATGGGTTTGACAAGAAACATGTTTACAAGGTACAAGGACTGTGTGTCAAGTGGTTTCCTGTGCCTTGCTTCTTAGAAGTGGATTTCTTTATCTGGGTTTTGAGTGCAAAGTAGGGAGCATTTTAAGTCAAAAGACTTTCCAAGCCAAGGAGCAGATACATAATTTTAAATAATGCTTGCTGGGCAGTGGTGGCGCACGCCTTTAATCCCAGCACTCGGAAGGCAGAGGCAGGGGGATCTCTGTGAGTTCGAGACCAGCCTGGACTACCAAGCGAGTTCCAGGACAGCCTCCAAAGCCACAGAGAAACCCTGTCTCGAAAAACAAAAAAACAACAACAACAAAAAAAAAAGAACAGGCTTTCCAGATGACTCAAATCTCACTGTTACCTAAAGAGTCAACATTTACCGCCCCCACACACAATAATACAGTAAAATGTCTTCATGATTAGAATTCATTTTCAGTAATATGTTATTAGTATGCAGAATTCATTTTTCATTTCTTTTTTGTTTTGTTTTTTCAAGACATGGTTTCTTTGTGTAACAGCTCTGGCTGTCTTGGAACTCACTCTGTAGGTCAGGCTGGCCTTGAACTCACAAAGATCCACCTGCCTCTGCCTCCCCTGGTGCTGGGATAAAAGGCATGCACCACTGCCGCCCAGCATTTCTATTCACTTCTAAGACCTGACCCAATCATGTTAAGTTGCTAGGGAACTCGTAGCAGGATCAGTATCCCGAGTGCTGGGCTTGCCTTTTATCTTGACTGCTAGTTTCTAAAAGTAGAGGACCAGAAATAAGTACTATAAGTAATTGTTGTTTGTTTGTGCATCTTTTAAAACATTTTCTTTTTTATATTAATTAATTGGTTTATTTATTTTGAGATAAGGTTTTATTAGGTAGCTTTGACTGGCTTAGAACTCATAGATAATGCCCCTGCCTCTGCTTCCCAAGTACTAGGATTAAAGGTTTGTGCCATCACGTCCAACCCAAGCATTCATACTTCAAAGATGCTGCAGTAACCAAAATCCAGTGGTAGTGAAAGCGCTTCCCAGGGCCTGGGTTTGTTTCCTCCAGTCAGTGCAGGGACTCAGCAGGAACTGACGCATTTGGGGATCTCTGCCCTCACACTGGGTGTGCATCTACTTCCCGTCCAGTTCTCAAGGCGCACTGTTTCTCCCGTTCTACCATCCTGCCATGACTGCAGCACAGCCTTGGGCCTGCCTCGAGTAACGTCTGCAGTGCTCTAAGTCACTAATTGGTGTGTGTGTCCGAGAGTACCCGAGCATGGTGTGCATATGGAGATAGAGGAAAGCACTGTGGAGTGAGCGCTCACCTTCCGTCTTTATGTAGGTTCCGGGGATTGAACTTGGATTGCCAAGCTTGCATGGTAATTGGCAATTGCCAATTCGCCATCTCCTGAGCCCTTTTTAAAACTCACTATGAGCCGGACTTTGGTGGCGCACACCTTTAATCCCAGCACTTGGGAGGCAGAGGCAGGTGGATCTCTGTAAGTTCGAGGCCAGCCTGGTCTACAGAGCGAGTTCCAGGACAGCCTCCAAAATAATACAGAGAAACCCTGTCTCAAAAAACCAAACAACAACAAAAAACTCACATGTAAGCACAGATGAACTTGAATTCCTTTTTTTTGTGTGTGTGTTTTGTTTTGTTTTGTCTTTTGAGACATTGTTTCTCTGTGGCTTTGGAGGCTGTCCTGGAACTAGCTCTTATAGACCAAGCTGGCCTCGAACTCACAGAGATCCACCTACCTTTGCCTCTTGAGTGCTAGAATAAAAGGTGTGGGCCATCATCACAGGTTTAATTTTTTTTTTTTAAAGACATTACCTAGCCTGGTGTTGGTGGTACACGCCTTTAATCCCAGCACATGGGAGTCAGAGGCAGGCGGATCTCTGAGTTCGAGGCCAGCCTGGTCTACAGAGCGAGTTCCAGGACAACCTCCAAAGCAATACAGAGAAACCCTGTCTCGAAAAAACAACAACAAAAGACATTCCCTAAGACTTTTCCTTTGCTGTTCACAGTTAGAATGTGTAACCCGGGAATGTTAACATGGAGTAAAATAACAAATGGCCTGCAAAAGCATAAAAGTGTTTTGGGGCTGGCCTTGGTAGCTCCTGCTTGTACTCTGGAGGGTCAAGTAGGATTGTTGAAAGGTGGCAACCAGGGGTACATAGCAAGATTCTGTCTTAAAAAATGGGTGGTGGTGAGTTCGAGGCCAGCCTGGTCTACAAAGTGAGTTCCAGGACAGCCTCCAAAGCTACAGAGAAACCCTGTCTCAAAAAACAAAAAACAACAACAACAAAAAAATGGGTGGTGGCACACATTTTTAAGCCTAGCACTCAGGAGAGGAGGCAGGAAGATCTCTGTGAGTTCGAGGCCAGCCTGGTCTAATAACAAGTTCTAGGCTAGCTAGGGTTACATAGTGAGACCCTGCTTAAAAACAAACAACATATTCACAAATGTTTAGGGGGCGATTCAATGTCATTGCTTAACTTGCATTGTATGACCTGTAATGGCCACTCCATTGCTGTTTCTGTAGATGGGACCTTAAAACAACTATTTAGAGATCCAGTCTCATGTAGCGCAGCTTGGCCTCAGATTCTCTGTGTAGCTGAAGATAAGCCTGGATTCCTGAATGGACTCACCCATACCATACCAGGGCACAGCATTGCCTGTACAGCCACTTTAGAGACCGTCTCTGACTCATTTTAGGAAGGAGAGTGGTCAGCACTCCACTCTCCACCTCACCAGCTACCCAAGGCTAACCTCCAACTTCTAATCCTCCTGTCTCCACCTCCTAAGCACCTGCATGTCTTGTTAATGCAATGTTGGGGCCCAAACCCACAGCCTCCTGCACACCAGACCAGTATTCTATCAACTAAGCCCTGTGCTTCACATCTTTTTTTTTAAAAAAATAATTTATTTTTAATTTTATGGGCATCAGTATTTTTGCCTGAATGCATGTCCGTGTGAGGGTGTTGTATCCCCTGGAACTGGGGTCACAGACAGTTGTGAGCTGCTATGTGGGTGCTGGGAATTGAACCCAGGGCCTCTCAGACAGCAGGCATTCCTGTGATAGTGAGAGTGTGAGCTAGTGGATGGTGTGTTTGCCTTAACCTTCTTCTGGCTCTTTCCAACTGCAGCTGTGCCAATGTGACTCATTGTGGGAGCAGATAGTTCAGTCGGCCTGTGACACCCTCACCCCCGACATGCGGGCCCTGGCGAAGGATGTGGGCTGGAGACAGGTGTTCTTCACCAACAAGATCCAGCTGCAGAGGCAGATCCACAGGAAGAAGCAGAGGCAGGGAAAGCAGAAGGACAAGAAGCACAATTAGGGGCCGGCTCTCCCCACCAGTGGAGCCACAAACGTGCCTTTCCCCACATCCAAATGTTGTTCTAAATTAACAACAGCTGTTGCGGATTCCAGGAATCACTTGAAAACTCACATTTTGCACACACATACAAATTCACCCAGTGCCTTGCTTGAGCAACCACCCCCCGTCCTGCTCAGACCAGTCCATGGCCCAAGTATTTAGGGCTACAAGACAGGAAACCTCTCCGGCCACCACCTTCCCGATCCCATTACCCCCTACAAAAGAGGCACTTATGTGTATGGACTAACAATAAAGAGTTATTTGCAGGCTTGTGTTTTTTGTTTGTATCAGATAGGGATCCCAAGCTGGACCTTCAAGATGACTTTGAACTTCTGACCCTTTTGCTGGGATTTACAGGTATTCACCACCACGCCAGGTCATAAGGTGTGCCAAGTAAGCACATACCCCACAACACACTGCTGGGGTTTTGTTAAATATCCTTTTGTTGTTATTTTTTTTTTGAGACAGAATTTTTCTCTGTAGCCTTGGCTGTCCTGGAACTTGCTCTGTAGACTAAGCTGGCCTTGAACCCAGAGATCCACCTGCCTCTGCCTCCCTAGTGCTGGGATTAAAGGCATGCACCACCACTTCCCGGCATTCAAAAAATTTTTTTTTGAATTTTTTCCTGTTGTTGTGTTAGAGTGGGTGACTGGGTGCACTTGAAGGTGTAGGTGCCACAGAGGCATCCCAGGAGAGTACAGCTGCTCCCCTAATTCATCCCACAAGGTTTGTATTCAGTTACTGTCCTTGTGGGCCAAGGTGTCATCCACCACACAACCCCTGATATGGCACCAGAATGTGGCTGGGAGAGCCCAGACATTCTGCAGGCAGCCCTTTGTCTGGAACTGGGGTAACACAGTTGTGAGCTGCTATTTGGGTGCTGGGAATTGAACCCAGGGCCTCTGGAAGAGCAGCTAGTGCTCTTAACTGCTGAGCCATCTCTCCAACCATTAACTGAGTGCAGGACTTGTTTTGTCCCACTGCCCCTCTGGAACAGTTTCTAGATGCCAAACTTTCGTGGCCCCTGAAGTCACACGGTACCTCTCAGGCAGCAGGCATTCCTTTGATAACAAACCTGCCAGTTTTTAGAGGAGGACCACTGCTTTCTGAAGTAAAATGCAGTGGGACCCACACTTTGCAGCAGAGATTTTCTTTTTCTGTGATACAGGGTTTCTCTGTATTACAGCTCCAGCTGTCCTAGAACTAGCTTTGTAGACCAGGTTGGCCTTGAACTCATAGAGATCCACCTGCCTCTGCGTCTCTGGTGCTGGGATAAAAGGTGTTTGCCACCACTGCCTGGATGCAGCAGGGATTGTAAGAGTAGAGGCTGTGGGTAACCAGTGTGAACAGTTAATGTGCATTTAGTTAGCATGGCCTAGGGACGCACTTAGCAAGTCAGAGACCAATCAGAGCTACAGGAGACTTCGTCTCTAAAGAGAGGTGGGGAAAAGGTTGGAGAAATGACTCACTAGTACTGTTGTCACTCAGGACACCTGGGAACCAAGAGAACCGAAAATCCAGCACTTCTAGTCCATGTCTTTCATTTGACAAGCAGGTATTCCTTACTGGCAGTGCAGTTTTTGTTTGTAAAGACTTATTTTTTTGGCCCGGTGTGTTAGCACACGCCTTTACTCCCAGCACTCGGGAGGCAGAGGCAGGCGGATCTGCGTGTGTTGAGGCCGGCCTGGTCTACAAGAGCTAGTTCCAGGATAGTCATCAAAACCACAGAGAAACCCTGTCTCGAAAAACCAAAAAAAGAAAAAAACTTATTTTTATATTACATATATGGGTGTTTTGCCTGCAAGTATGTCTGTGTATCATTCAAATGCCTAGTTCCCACAGAGGCCAGACAGAAGGGCCTATTGCACTCCCTAGAACTGGAATTACAGACTGCTATGAGTCACCATCTGGGTGCTGGGTCCTCTGGAAGAGCAGCCAGGGCTCTTAACTACTGAGCAAATCTCTGCAGCCCTCAATATCATTTTAAAATTCTTCCCATGTTGTATATTATTGATTATAGCTTCCATGTGAACAGGTAACAGAGTATTACCTTCAACCTTTGTGTCTCTGTCAGACTTGGTGGTTGTAATAGGAACTTACCTGGGCTTGCAAGGGATTAAAAAAATTTTTTTATTAAATTTTTTTCCGAGACAGGGTTTCTCTGTATTGCTTTGGAGCCTGTCCTGGAACTCACTCTGTAGACCAGGCTGGTCTCAAACTCACAGAGATCCACCTGCCTCCTGAGTGCTAGGAGTAAAGGCGTGCGCCACCACTGCCCGGCCTGCAAGGGATTTTTGTATCAACCTGCCTGTGTCCACAGAATCCTAGATCTCACTTGTTTATTGGAAAAGAAGAGTTAGCTGAAAGACAAAAATAGCATCTCTGAGTGCTCTGTAGACAGAACCTGACCAGAATACAGTATAAAGTGAATGCAGGAGGCCAGACATGGCGGCACATGCTCATGAGAACCTGGGAGGCAGAGGTTGGGGGATTTTAAGTTCAAGGCCATCCTGAGGCTACATAATAAGACTGTCTCAGACAATTAATCAATCAAACAGATAAATGGAAGGAACATGACTGAATGAGGACAGAGATCTAAAACTGATTGAAATGTTTCATCTTTTTGGTTTTTTCTTTCTGCTTTTCGAGACATGGTTTCTCTGTGTAATAGCCTTAGCTGTCCTAGAACTAGCTCTGTAGACCAGGCTGGGCTCGAACTCAGAGTTCCCAAGTGCTGGGATTAAAGGCATGTGCCACCACTGCCCAGTGAAATGTTTCATTCTTAAATACACTGAGAGTGGTTCTCCAGTAGTTTTGTATATACCAAGAGTAGTTCTATAAGTAGTTCTGTACAAAACGATGCCTGCCTGTAATCCCCGCACTCTTCAAAGTTAAACACACACACACACACACAAAATGCATGCTCACACTCGCCAGAGAGAGAGAGAGAGAGAGAGAGAGAGAGAGAGAGAGAGAGAGAGAGAGAGAGAGAGATTGGTTTTATATAGAAACTCATTGGTCACTTTAAAGAGGACAGCATTTATTTAGTTACAAGTAAATAACAACACAGGTATGCAAAGGGCAAACGATGAAGCATATGATGTGAGAATGTCTTCAGGACACTGCAGGTGTGAACAGAGACAGGAGCTGTTTTTGTTTATTTGTTGTTGTTGTTTTTTGCAAGCAGGTCTTGCTTCAGTCCTGCAGATACCACTGATTCAGTAGAAACCACTGCTCCTTCAAACAAAGTAAGTCCACGGATAGAAACGATGCAAGTCCAGTTGGGTCAGCGGGTGGAAAGTTTGTATCTCTGATGCATAGCAAACAATACAGGCATCCCCTATCACGGGCCATAGCACCATGCAGCATTCTTAACACTGCCTCCTGTTAACTGATGTTGCAGACAATGAGAGTAGTGAAGTAATGTAGTTTTAAAAATACATAGCATGTTTAACAGTTCCTACTTGTAAATACACACATTTAACATGAAAATAAATATCACTGTTTCAGCTTTAAAGAATATTATTCATTTTTTGCGACAGAGTCTCACTATATACCTCAGGCTGTCCTGAGACTCACTTTGTAGATCTGCCTGCCTTTGCCTCTCAAGTGTTGGTATTAAAAGTATGCACCACCATGTCTGGCTAATATCACCTTTATTAAAATATCAAGTTGTGCTACTGGTATGATGATAACAGACAGGGGTGGAGGCAGAGAGGCAGAGGAAGGCAAGCCACTATGATTTCCAGGCTAGCATGGTCTAAATAACGAGACCCTGCCTCAAACAAAATATAACAAAACAAAAACCAAACACGTCTTTGTGTTAAGCCAAATGGATCATGGCAGCTACATTATCATCTAACTTCCAGGCAATGCTCACATCGCTGGAGGGAAAATCAAATGTGCTTTAGTGGGGCTCCTTTCTGCTAGTCAGCCTGCTTACCAATGCTACTTTATCTGGGTGGTTTCACTGTCCAGTCCTTTTACTAGTCCTTAGGACAGGAGACAGTGGAGAAGGAAACTGTTCATTTAATTACCTGTTAAAGTCTGGGAAGCTCCCCTTGCATTCTGACTGAAAGTTAGATCTTGGGAGTATTCTACAATTCCAGTCTGTAGCATTCCTGCCTTTAATTATCAAAGATAATTGAGACTGGGGTGGATTCCTTTTAGGTAAATTTGCCCCAAGACACTGGCAGTTTTGTTTGATGAGCAAATTGCGAGTCAGAAATTTCTTGCTTTATGGTGTGGAGATGAATCCTAGGGTCTTGACCATGTTAGGCAAGTGCTCTTATCACTGAGCCACACCACCAAACCAGCACGTACACATGTAAGTCATTTAAAGGCATAAATACGTAAGGCAGTCAGAAATTTCAGAATGACCCTGGGAGGAACATTTTGTATTGGAAAATGTCTTAGCTTTAGAAAAATAGAGATCTTGGCTAAGGAAGAATATTGAATTTTATGATGTCCCAGATCAGACATTGTCATGTATGAAACCTACAAAGAAAACTATTTTCAAAATTGTGCCCAGTCCAGACAAGTGAATAATCCATATGGCAAGAGGCACCAGAGCTGGGCTGTTTGGCACCACTGTCCCAGTGTCGGCTACATGCACACTCACAAGGCAAGCCATCTGTAACCTCACAGCTTGACTCTGTTTTGTTTGGTTTTTGAGACATGGTTTCTTTGTGTAGTCCTGGCTGTCCTGGAACTCACTTCATAGACCAGGCTGGCCTTGAACTCACAGAGATCCAACTGCCTCTACCTCCTAAGTGCTGGGATTAAAGGAGTGTGCCACCACTGCCCAGCTCTTTAAAAAAAAGATGGTTTACTCTAAGACATGAATCAAAGTGTCTGAATCATAGCCCTTGGTGCAAAGTCATATGCACTAAGAAACACACATACTGCTAAGAACATCAATCTAGCTTACTGCTGAACTCATCTTCTAGGACATGATCAGTTGAGTTACAAGGATGACCAATTTCATTTCCTAAAGGAAGAGTCAGAAACTGTACTTCTTACCTACAGAATTCTTTCATAAAAATATAAGCTGTTTTAAAATTGTACTAAATTGTATTAGTTTTTAAAAAAGATTTGTTTTTGTATTTTGTGTGTGTGTGTGTGTGTGTGTGTGTGTGTGTGTGTGTGTGTGTGTGTGTGTGTTTTCTGAGTGTTTGTATGTGCGACTTGTGTGCAGTGGCCTCTGGAACTGAGTTACAGCTGGTTGTCAGCCAACATGCTCGTAGTGTACTCTGGTCTGCTAAAAGAGCAGCAAGTGCCTCCTGGCCACCTTTCCAGCCCACAAATTACATACATTTGAATTGATAGCCTGCCTTTGTATATCAGCATACTAAGAACTCCTTGTAAGAATTAATTTCTGACACTCAGTTATGTTCTTATGCTTAAAGCCTGTATATCTGGACCCTTTATGGAAATATAGACTCTTGGTTTTACCTTACAAAGAAGTGGTTATGTTGCAAAGCTTTTATTTACAGTTTTTTTAAAATATAAAACCCTAGTCCCATCAGATGACAAGAGGAGAGGAAGAGAGGGAGAGAGGAAAAGAGAAGGGATGAAGGGAGAGAGAAGGTGGGGGCTTCCTTTTTTCTTTATTTCTTTTTCTCTTTTTAGACAGGTTCTCATGTGGCCCAGGGTGGCCTGGAATTCACTAGATAGCAGAGGCTAACTCTGAACCTTCAATCCCCCTGCCTCCACCTAGAGCTGGGATTACAGGCATTTGCCACCATGCCTGGCTTGACAGTTTTCATCAGGGCATCTTCATCAACTATTTAATGAGCTATAAACACCATCATCTCTAAAACACACGCAGTTTTAATCACTTCTACCACCTCCTCAGAGAAACAATAACAATGGCATTAACAAGTGACACCACTGGTTACCATACAGAGCATTCCTCTAGCGACCAGGTGAGGTAGGCATGAGGAGAACCCACAAGAAAGCTGCACTAAACAGGCGCACCGTCTGTGTACTTTCGTCTGGATTGTTTTATCTTCCGAATACAGGGTTGAATGAGCAAAAAGAGTATTCCTACCATGTAAAGCAAACCACATATATAAAAGGAAAAATCGTATTTTTGTGTGATGTCGAAGATCCACCCTACAAAAACAGAAAAAAATACAGATATATTCAGTATAACAGTTTAAGACAAAATTCAAAGTTATAAACCAGGCATTTATTGCTACTTCAATTTTTTTTCTTTTTTTGGGGGGGCGGGTGGTGGTTTCAAGATAGTTCCTCTGTCTGTCTAGCTCTGGCTATCCTGGAACTCGTAGATCAGTCTGAGTCAATTTTTTTAATGGTTTGGGCTGGGGATGTAGCTCAGTGGTAGAGCACTTGCCTGGCACATATTAAAGCCATGGTTCAACACTGCCCCTCCAATTTATTAACTTTTCTTTGTGATTGATGCTGGTGGTGGAACTCAGCATTGCACGTGTGGCCACCCTGGGCCACAGAGACAGGCTTCAGTCAGAATTTTTTTAAATACAAGATCTCACATACTATACTCAAGGCTGGTCTCAGATTCACTATGCGTTGTTTCACTATTCTTTTTTTTTTTTTTTTTTTTTTTTTTTGGTTTTCCGAGACAAGGTTTCTCTGTGGTTTTGGAGGCTGTCCCGGAACTCGCTCTGTAGACCAGGCTGGCCTCGAACTCACAGAGATCCACCTGCCTCTGCCTCCCAAGTGCTGGAATTAAAGGCATGTGCCACCACCGCTCGGCTGTTTCACTATTCTTTACTCTATAGTTTTTTTGTTTGTTCTTGAGACAGGGTCTTACTGCGTAGCCCTGAAACTCACTACATAAATCAGGCTGCCATAGAACTCACAGAAATCCACTTGCCTCTGCCTCTCAAGTGCTGGAATTAAAGGTGTATGTTACCAAGCCTGGCTTTTATTTTCTGTTTTCATTTTACTTATTTTTGTGGAAGTGTGTGAACTTTGTGTATGGCACTAGTGTGCTACGTGGGGGTCACAGAACAACTCTGTGCAGTGAGTGAGCTCTCTCCTTCCACCTTGTGTGGGTCCCAGGGACCTCACTCAGGTCATTCCTCATGCTGAGTTCATGCGGTAAGCATGTTACCTAAGTCAGCCCATCATCCCTACTAAATGTGATATTTGACTTAAAAATAGGAGACAGTAGAGGTGCGGCAGAGAAAGGTGATCTCTGTGAGTCTGAGGACAGCTTAGTCATAGCAAGTTCCAGGCCAGCCAGAGCTACCCAAAGAGAGCCTGTCTCAAAAAAACAAAACAAAGGACAAAGAGCAAGTAACAATGGAGAGAAGGCAAAAATAAAGGTCATATTCTTTACATGTGGCTTAGTAAATGCCCTGTCCTTTTTCCATCTGCAATCTAAGATTAAACACATAATCCAAAAATAATGATTCAGCCTCAGAATCTGAAAGCTGCGACATCTCAACAGACCCCGGCCAACTTCTGCTCAGGGACACCAGCTGCTGTCAATGGGGCTCATATGAGTGATGGCAGCATGTGCAAATGAAGACATTTGCTGTCGAGGGCTCTGTCTACCTCGAGGGGACTGCCTGTAACCTGAAAGTTAGAAGATCAGGGCAGCATGTGGGGCACAGGTCTGTCAATCCAGCTATGGGAAGAATGCAAATTCAAGGTCTGCCGGGGCTGCAGTGTCCTTGCCTAGTCAGCCTGGGCAATTTAAGGAGATCCTGTCTCAGAGTGAAAACTAACCAAGCTTGCCTCAGACCTCTAATCCCAGCACTTGGAAGGCAGAAGCAAGGTATCTAGATCTCTGTTGGTTTGAGGCCAGGCTGGAATGTATAGTGCATTCCTGGCACTATGAATGGTGAGATCCTGTCCCCAAGAGGAAAAAAAAAAAGACAACTGGTGATGTAGCCCAGTGGTGATCGCTTACTTGTTTAGTGTTGGAAGAGGCCTTGGGTTCAATACCCATGGAGGCCAGAAGAGGTCATTCATGGGTTTTCTGGAGCTGGAGTGATTGTGAGTCACCTGACGTAGGTGCTAAGAACTAACCCCCCCCCAAGAGCAGCAAGTGCTCTTTTTTTTAATATTATTTATTTTTATGTGTATTGGTGTTTTGCCAGCATTTATGTCTGTGTGAGGGTGTCGGATCCTCTGGAACTGGAGTTACAGACAGTATTGAGTTGTCATGTGGGTGCTGGGAATTGAACCCATGTCCTCAGGAAGAGCAGCCAGTGCTCTTAACCACCGAGTCATCTCTGCAGCCCCAGCAAGTGCTCCTAATTACTGAACCATCCATCTCTTCAGCCTCACTCCCATACTGGGGACTGAACCTAGCTAGGGCCACACACTTGCCAAGAAGTGCTCCATCACTGTGCCATGGACTCCCTATGCAGCTGAGGATGGGTGCCATTTCTTGACCAGGCAGGCACCATCACTCCTGGTTGGCATCTCTGCTCTTTGATTTGAAACTTGGGGCCTTTGCAATTCTTTCACCCATTACTGCAAAGCAATAGCTTCAAAGTAAAACCTGACTCCCTAGTCAGTTGCCTTCCCTTTTCATTTGAGTGTCTCAATGAGACGGATAGGTGTCATATCAATTCAATTGCTCCCAGCTCTTGGGCAACATTGAAAATGCATGTAGATACTCAGCTAACCAGACCTAATTGGCTGGATTTTGTTAGAAAAGTACTCTAGAAACATGTAGAAAAATCACCTACTACCATGAGATCTTTTAAGGAGAAGTGAATGCCGGGTAATGTTATCTAATGAATTAGACAGAAGTTGGTGTTGTCTAATGCCGTGTCTGTGTAATGTCTTGAATTGCATGCTTTCCCTAAATGGAAACACTTGGATGTCTAATGTGGCACTAAATTGTACCAGGTTCTTAAATGAGACTAGAAATCACTCTGAAAAATGGGAAACAACGTTTGTTTCTGAAACCACTTACTGAAAAAAAAGAAAAGGTAATTGGAGAAGTAATTTTCTCCGCTGCACATTAAGTAGGATTTCAAGCCCATTTGGGATGTCTAGCAAGAATTGAATGTGGTTATTTAGTTGATCCTATTGCCAGGCACCCTGACCCTGAATCACATTGTGACCTTAGTTTCTTGACCTATTAAACATTATGCAGGCAGCCAATGAATGTGCTTCACTGTTAGTGTGTGAATCAGTGGGAGGAGAGAAAACAACAAACATCAGGAGAGAAGGCCCCTCCGACCTCGGGAGAGAAGGCCCCTCCGACCTCTGGAGAGAAGGCCCTTCCCACCTGATGGATGGGACACTAGCCTGGAGTCCCCACAGCAGTGAGGGTAGGCACCCACAGAGACTTCTGTCTTTGATTATTTCTGTTGTGGTAGTGTTTTTGTTTGCTTTGTTTTGAGATGGGGTCATATGTTACCCAGGCTAGCCTTAGACTCCTGATACTCCTGCCTCTACCTCCCAAGTGCTGTGATTACAGGCTTACAGAAACATGCCTGGCCTTAAAATTCTCTCATAACATATTTATGTAAGTATATGTGAAAAGTATATTTAGTGTTTTTGTGAGAACATATGCACATGTGAATGCACTTGTGTGTGTGTGTGTGTGTGTTGAGTGCTTGTAAGTACTCATAAGACAGTGCTGGGTGGGTAACTCCTTCTCTCTCCATCTGCTCCTTTGAGGCAGGGTTTCTCCCAGAACTTGAGACGAATGCTTCTTTCTTTCTTCCTCCCTTCCTCCCTCCTTCCCTCCCTCCCTCTCTCTTTCTTAAAAGACAGGGTTTCTCTATATAGCCCTGGTTTCTCAGGAACTCATAGGGCCCCCTGCCTCTGCCTCTCAAGTGCTGGGATTAAAGTTGTGTGCAACAGTAGTGGCCAGCCAGTAGGCTACATTTTCTCTGCTAGACTTTTGATAATGGTTATGGCAGCTTATTTGAGCAGCAACAGGCAACAAACACAAAGCTAGACCCGAGTCTGGATGCCCTTTGGTGGTTTTTTGAGCTAGGGTCTCACGTGGCCAAGGATCACCTTGGACTCTAGATCTTTGCCTCTGCCTCTCAAGTGCTAGGACTACAGGCATGGACCACCACACCCAGAGTATGATGCACTCAGGCATGGACCACCACACCCAGAGTATGATGCACTCAGGCATGGACCACCACACCCAGAGTATGATGCACTCAGGGCATCCTGTGTGCTTGGCAGACACTCTACCAACCAAGACATATCACAGCACTGCTTTTGGTTTCTTCTCTTTTAAAGGTTTTGTTTGTTTAATGTGTGTGTGTGTTTGTATGTGTATTTAATGTGTGTGTATGTTTGTATGTGTATGGGTCTGTGTCACAGTACAAACATGGAGGTCAGAGGACAATCTACAAGATTCTGTTCTTCCCGCCCACCACATGGGTTCTGGGGATTGGACACAGCTCATCAGGCTTGGTGGCAAGCGCCTTTACCTGCTGAGTCACAGGCCCCTGGTATTGATTTCTTGAGATAGTGTCTGATCATACAGCTAAGGTTGACCTGGAATTTGTCACAATCCTCCTGCCTCAGTATCCTCACATTTGGGATTACAGGTGTGTACTACCACATCTGGACTTTTTTTTTTTTGAGACAGCTTAAGCTGACTTCTAACTAGCGGTGCTCTTTCTACCTAAATTTCTCAAGTTCTGAGATCACAAGCAAGTGCTATGATGCCTAGCTCTGACATTGGACTTTGTAAGGGAAGGGACACAGCCTGCCCTCCCCACCATGCACTCTAAACTCTGGGTACCTTGGGGGCACTCACCTGCAAATGGTGGTCCCAGTAAAGCTGAGATGCCATTGGCACAGATGATGATGCCATAGGCATTGGCCAAGTGCTCAGTGCCAACCAGGTCCTCCGTCACCACAGGCATGATGGAGAAATACCCGCTGGAAAACCCAATCAGGGCGCAAATGACAGCCAGGCTCGCATACGTGTGCATCGATGGCAGAAGGAAGATGCTGAAGACAAGGGTGAAGTTAGCCATGAGGAAGACGTTCCAGACGCTGATGCAGGGGAGGTCAGCCACTACCCCCAGGATCACCTTCCCGAAGATGTGAAGTATTGCTATGATTGAGGTCAGAGGGAACACATCGTTTTGCTCCGACAGGTTATACAAGCTGACGATTTCTGGCAGGTGGATGAAAGGGATGACAAAGCTGCTGTATGCAAACAGAGCCCAGAAAATAAACGCTACAAACATGCGGTTGGTGAAGAGCGAGGCTGTTCCAAAATAGCCTGAGTACCAGTCCCCAAAGCCCTTCTGGACTCGCACAGTGATCTGGCTCACTGTCTTCAGAACTCGGAAAGCACACATATTTTTCCTAGGATGGGTTTGACCTTGACACTCCTGTGCTTGAAGGTCACAGACATTCTCCTCATTCTCAGGCTGCCTGTCCTGTTCTTCAGTCATGCCCAGTGGTCCTGATTTCACAGGTTCAGTGGAGTAAGCTGGGAGGGCACAGGGCTCCTCCTCTCTTGGGCAGTTTTCGACCTTCCCAGGAGAGAGGGGCCTCATGAGTGCCCCGCAGACACACAGGTTCAGGGACATGGCACCTTGGATGAACATGGCATTCCGCCAGCCATACTCTGCACACAGGTATTTCAGCAAAATGGTCATCAGGAATGTTCCAAATCCTGTCCCTGTGGTACTGAGGCCCTGGGCCAGGGCTCGCCTCTTCTTAAAGTACCTTCCCACCATGACCACTGCTGGCAGGTAGGCCATCCCGCTGCCGAGGCCTGCAGGTAAGATGGAAAAAAGCACGAGGTACAGTCAGCATTCATACTACATAAAGATCACCAGTGGTGTCATGCAGCTTTCCAGACTGTAGAAAAAGCACCTGAGGTAATCAACTTTAAAAAAAGAAAGGGCAGCCGGGTGTTGGTGGCGCACACCTTTAATCCCAGCACTCGGGAGGCAGAGGCAGGCAGATCTCTGTGAGTTCGAGACCAGCCTGGTCTACAGAGCAAGTTCCAGGACAGCCTCCAAAGCCACAGAGAAACCCTGTCTCCGGGGGGAGGCAGGCGTTGGTGGCGCACGCCTTTAATCCCAGCACTTGGGAGGCAGAGGCAGGCGGATCTCTGTGAGTTCGAAGCTAGCCTGGTTTACAAGAGCTAGTTCAAGGCCAGTCTGGTCTACAGAGTGAGTTCCAGGATACCCTCCAAAACTATACAGAGAAACCCTGTCTTGAAAAACCAAAAAAGAAAAAAAAGTATGTATGTGTGTAAAAAAAAGAAGAAATGTTTATTTTTACTTATTTATTGTTGTTTGTTTGAGACAGGGTTTCTCTGTATTGCTTTGGAGGTTGTCCTGGAACTTGCTCTGTAGACCAGGCTGGTCTCGAACTCACAGAGATCTGCCTCACCTATGAAGGCCCTGTCTCAGGCAGAATCAAATAAAAGAAAGTGACCAGTCCCTTGTGGGAGTACTGTGCATGAAAGAAGCTGGGTGAGAATTTCTGAGGACTTGTGAGTTAACCAAGTAAACAACAGTGCTGTAACTTCTGTTCCTTCCATAACATGGTGGTTCCTAGAAGGAGCTTGTGTGCCCCTCCCAGGTGTAACCCTAGGGACAGGTTTACTCTAGGTCACCCATCATCCCATCCATTATTATTCAGAACGATGCTTTCAAGCACAAGCTGCCCTTGTGACTGTGCACAGCTTGAACACTAGTGAATGTTGCTCACATGACTTTCCTACCCCTCAGAATACTCCCAGGATATAAACTGTCTGGTGCCCCAAATAAAGATGGTCATTGCATGAGACTTCAGTCTGCCTCGTTCTTTTAGGATCCCACTCTTCCAGAGTCACGCCTCCAGCTAGAGTAGTAAGAGTCCCTACGCCTCCCGAGTGTCAGTGAGGGCAAGACTATGGACCAATTTCTTAGACTGTAAAATAGACAAAGGAACAAAAGCCCACAGAGGCCAGCAAGACAACTACAGGATGGAGGGGCTTGCTGCTAACCCTGACAACCTGAATTTGAGCTCCTAGATGTACACAGTGGAAGGGGAGAACTGAATCCTGCAAGTTGTTCTCTGACCTTCCCACCTATGAACTGTGGTACACACACACACACACACACACACACACACACACACACACACACACACACACACACACACACGGAAAGGGACTGGAGAGATGGATTAGTGGTTGTGAGCATTTGTTGCTACTGCAGAGGATCTGGGTTGATTCCTGAAACCCACATGGCAGCTGTAACCATTTCTAGTGGATCTGACCACCCTCTTTTCTGAACTCTGTGGTGGCCATATACACACATGCAGGCAAAACACTCATACACATAAAGTAAGACTTAGAAATCCAGGGACTGGAGAGATGGTTCAGAGGTTAAGAACACTGGCTCCTCTTGTGGAGGACCCTGGTTTGCTTCTCAGCACCCACATGATGGCTCACAACCACCTTCAATTCTAGTTCCAGGGATCCGACACCCTCTTCTGGCCTCTGAGGGTACTGCACAATGTAGCGCAGATGTGCATGCTGACAAGAGTCCCATAAACATGAAATAAAAATATGTTTTAAAAAACTAAAATATTAAAAAGAAGCTGGGCATGTGGTACACTCCTTTAATCCTAGCACCTGGGAGGCAGAGGCAGGAGGATCTCCAGTTTATAAAGTGATTTCCAGGACAGCTAGGGCTGTTACATGGTCCATCACCAAGTCCACATCTCTGTATGGGTTGATTGAGTTTGGACCATCTGTAACATCTATATGCAAATTAGCAAAGTAAAAATACAGACATGATAAAATATCTACATGACTGTTTATCTAAAACCCTAGCTTGATCCTCTAAGAAATGAGAAATTCGAACCAATTTCTGTGATAGTGTGGACTTTTGAGAACTTGCCCCTTCAGAAGCTACAAAATGTAACCGTCAGACAGACTACACTCATGCCCTCTGCTCCCAGCCCATCTGACATCAGCAATGCCACCTGGACCACACTGCTGGGAAAGGAAACCCCTCCTCCCCTACCCCATACCCTCTTCCTCAACTGGCTGCTCTCTTCTCTGGTCCTATGGTAGTTGGTTAGTTCTCTCTTATCACGTGGGTCCCAGGGACTGACTCAGACATCAGGTTTGGTGGTAGGCACCTCTGCCTGTTAAGCCATCTCACTTGCCCAAGACAAATCTTTTAAAAAAGAGATCCATTTTGCATACCAATATCGTACTTACAAAAATTGCTTGTCCAGCATTCACTAGACCTTGGGTTTGATCTCATTACTACATAAACCAGGTATTGTGACACACACCACTAATCCCAGAGTTCAGAGGCAAGGTAGGAATATCAAGGTCATCCTTGCCTGGACACAGAATTTGAGGCTAGCCTGGGCTACATTAGATCCTGTCTCAAAAAACAAAACAAAACTCAAAATCTGCTGTGTGTGTGTGTGTGTGTGTGTGTGTGTGTGTGTGTGTGTGTGTGTGTGTGTGTGTATTGGGCAGGTGCCCTTGGAGGCCTGAAGAGGGCATTGGGTCCTCAGAGGAGGTGTCATAGGAGGTTGCAACCTGCCCAGTGCGGGAGGTGGGAACTGAACTCCAGTCCTTTGGAAGAGCAGCCAGCACTCTTAACTGCAGAGCCATCTTTCCAGCCTCCAATGGAACAGTTTAAATCAAACCCAGGGAAGCTTTAAGAAACAGAATGATTTAATGACTCTTCGTGCCATCACTTAACGTCAACAAATCTCAACTCACAGCCAATTTTGTAAATACCACATATTATTTTGAAGCAAATCAGGAATATATTATCTCATGTGTGCATATTTTAGTATAAATCTCCAAATGTAGGAATCACTTAAATGGCATAGTTCTCATATCGTTTTTTATTGGAAAAAATAATCCTTTGATACCACTAAATATCCTGAAGGCACTCAAATTTCTAGGTGTTTCATAAATGACTATTCTTTCAAAAAACAAAACAACTCCCTCCAACTTGTATGTTTAAACCACAATCCAGCAAGGCTTTTACACATTGCTGTTTGTTGATGCCAATTTTAAATCTTTTCTCACCCCCACTCCAATACCTCTTGCAGTTTATTTTGTTGAATTTGTTTAAGACACTAGGTGATTTGTTCTGTGACACTGTCCTACTTTGGATTTTGATAACACAAAATAAGTTTGCTTATTTTAAACAAGGTCTCCTGTAGCCCAGGCTGGCCTGGAATCTGTAGAAGAAGAATGGTCTTGAAATTCTGATCCTAGTCAGGGGGTGTTGGTACATGCCTTTAATCCCACCACTTGGGAAACAGATGCAGGCCAGCCTGGTCTATAGAGTGAGTTCCAAGACAGCCAGGTCTGTTACATAGAGAAACCCTGTCTCAAAAAACAACAAAGTCGGGCGGAGGTGACACACACCTTTAACACCAGCACTTGGGAGACAAGGGAGGCGGATCTCTGTGAGTTCGAGAACAGCCTGGTCTACAAGAGCTAGTTCTAGAAAGCCTCCAAGCCACAGAGAAACCCTGTCCCTCCTAAAAAAGAATTAAAACAAAACAAAACAAAAATTTCTAATCTCTTCTTAAAACAATAGTAATAGTAATTATTATTATTATTATTATTATTATTATATGATGTGATTGTGAGTGCAGACATACACAATCAATAACACACATGTGGAGATCAAAAGACAAAAGACAACATTTAGGACAATGATTCTCAACATGTGGGTCACGACCTCCCTGGAGCCCAAATGACCCTTTCACATAGGGGTTGAGTATCAGATATCCTGCATATAAAATGTTTACATTCATTCATAACAGTAGCAAAATTACAGTTATGAAGTAGCAACAAAATAATTTTATGGTTGGTGGGTCACCACAATATGAGGTTGCAGCGTTAGGAAGGCAGAGAACCAGTGTTTTAGGAGTTTTTCCTTCCACTGGGGAACTCAGAGCTACTCAGGCTCTCCCGGCTCATACCTGTCGTAGGCAGGTACCTCTACCTGTGTGTCATTTCGCTAGCACGTTGATGCCAGGTGTCCCATTCCTCTCGTCGAAAGGGATATACTTGAGTTTATGTCATGTTCATGCTACACATATGCTACCGTGTTTGTGTGTCAGCTAACATTTACCAAGCACGTTAGTATGTACCATCTTGCTAAGCATTTTATGTGAATCACTTCAGTCATTTCAATGTGCTGGTCTGGCACTCTCAATTTGCCCCCCAAGTTGCACATAAGGAAACTGAGGTGTAAGGAGCTTCAGTGATGAGTCTAATGTGCCTAATGTCACATGAATATTAGGCGGTTACAAAAGGAGGACACAGGTGGGTGCAGCTCAGTGGTAAGTGCACTTGCCCAGCAGGAATGAAAAAATACACTAGGCTCGGTGGCACATTGCTTCAATCTCAACACTCAGGAGGTGGAGGCAGGGATGGGAGCAGATTAAAAGTTCAAAGTCCTTTTCTTCTACACAGCAAATTCCAGGCCAGGCTGGGGATACATAAGGACCCATCTCATAACAGAAATAAGGAAATAAATAGACATAATTCTCTACTAAACTTTTGTTTTTATATTGTTTGTTTTCTGAGATAAACTCAGAAATTAGTCTCGACTAATTTTAAACTTTTCATTGCATTGCCTCAAGCTCCCAAGTGTTAGGATTACAGACATGCTATGTACCACCAAATCCCAACCAAAATAACTTTTTCATTGCTTTGTTTTTTCAGACAAGGTTTTGTGTAGCCCATGGTGGTCTTGAACTCACTGTCTAGATAGCTGAGAATGGCCTTGCATTCTGGATCTTTCTGTCTCTACCTCCTTAGGGCTAGAATTATAGTTATACCACCACACATCTGGATCCCTTCTTTTGTTTGTCACTTCGTTTTTTTGCTTTTTGAGACAGGGTCTCACTGCGTATCCCTGGCTGGCCTGGAACCATTCTGTGGACCAGGGCTTTGAACTGATAGAGATCCTTCTGCCTCCGTCTCTTGAGCACTGGAATTTTTCCTTCTTTCTTTTTTCTGGGAAGAATCTTACTATATGGCCTGGATGACCTGAAATCTCTATGTAGCCCAAATTGACCTCGAACTTCCGGCAATGCCCCTGCCTCTGCCTCTCAAATGCTGTGAATGTGTGTGCCACTACATCCAGCTTTCCTGATCAAAATTGCTTTCAACACTGATTCAGTTTTTGAGGAGGCTCAGAGCTAGCTCTGTTCCCACAGAGTCAGGCAGGACCAGCTCCACCAGAACACAGGGTTCAAAGAAATGGACTACTCACTGTGCGAACCCCACAACCTGTGGGTAAAGGAAATTATGGCTGCAAATACATTTTGCAGAATGCAAATCACTCTACATGGTGTTCAGTTTTAATTTGTCCCCTGCCTGTGTGCTAGATTGGCTTCTGAGAATCTTGACCTGCCTGTGGTTTGTGCTAATTCATTCATCTGAATGGAGAAAAAGATAAGTGACTATTCCATTATTCACATTTAGTCATATATTTATTAATGAGAGAATGTCTTCATTTCCCTAGCATTTTTGTTTACTCACTTAAATTTGTGTCATTATCCCCCCTTTCCCATTCTTCAAAGGAGAAACCCTAGCATGTAGGAGCTGGCATTAAAGTTTGAATTTTGTTCTATTTGGGAGTCAGATACAGGTGTAAGTGAGTGTCTCACAAGTAAGGGACACTTAGTATCTATTAAAGAGTTTCCTAGGTTCATGGACAAGAAGGCTTGCTATGCTGAATAAAAAAGCTGGCTGTATATGTGTGTGTGTGTTTCCCATAGAGATTGGAGGAGGGTATCAAACCTCTGGAACTGGAGTTACAGATGGCCCTGAGCTTCCATGTGGATGCTGGAAATGGAACCCGTGTCTCTGCAAGAACAAGTGCTCTTAATTGTTGAGCTGTCTCTCTAGACCGTCAGCGGAATGTCTCAACGGGTCTCTTTTCTCCACAGTTAAATTCATCATTTAAATACACAAGACACTGAAATCACAAATTGTAAACCATGCTTACCAGCTGCCACTCCAAACGTAATAAAGAGGGTCTGCACGTTGGCTGCGTAGGCGCTCAACACCCAGCCGAGGGAGTTCACCAGCCCTCCAAGGATTGCTGTCCGGCGGCACCCGCAGGTGTTAATGAACAAGCCGATGAAGGGTCCTGCCACAGAGCAGTGGAAAAGGCACTCACTAGAGGCTCCTTGTTGTCTCAGTGTCCCCCCACAAAATTTAAATAAAACATCACTAGGGCTGTTTAAAGAAGCTAGATGACTCAGTGGCCAAAGCTGTCAACCTGAGTTTGAGCCCCTGAACCCACTTGAATAGAAAGAGACCAGACTCCTACAGGTTGTTGATCTCCACACATGTACCCCCCAATAAACAAATAAACACAAATTGTAATGACATAGGCAAATCCAAAACATCTTATGATGGGGTCTCTGCAGATTACAGAGGCAGGCGGAAATCTGAAAAGAGGTAAGAATGAAAAGTCAACCTGAATAGAGGTAAGAATGAAAAGCCTGTTTGGATTGACTCAGTCAACCTGGATCAAACTTCGAGAAGTCTGATACCAGGCGGTTAATTGTAAGCATATTTAAATACAATAGAATTTGGAAAACGGTTTTCCAGGCTACAATCATTCCAATTCTAGGTGCATAATAAAGCTTAAGGGGTGCCTACATAGCATCTCCTTTACAAAGTACATGGAACTATGAAGGTGGGTTCTACAGCTAAAAGATCCAGGATCCGGTGTGGTCACCGAAGAAGATAGCACAGAGGTCAGCAGGCCATAAAGCACATGTGACACCTCCCCTAAGGATGGGTTCTATTGACTGGGAGCTAAAGATAAAGGTCTAGGGAGGCAGAGTCTGGATAATCATTCTAAGGCGTTGGATGAGATGCGCCTCTACGGATAGCAAAGGTCACCAGGTCACTAACAACATCCACTTCAGCTTTCCCGATGGAATGCAGGTGTTTTACTGAGGAGAGGTAACACAGCGTTTATTGTCCACTGAGGAGGCACCCCTGAGTGATAAATATTCTGGTTTCCTTTAAGATCTGTGAGCACAAGGACCTTTGTGCCCCCAACAATCTTAAAGTATACAAACCTTGCAGGTGGACATACTCTCATCAGAGAACAGATGGTTCTAGACTGGAAACAAGCAGTCAGTCTCATTCTGCCTACAAAACAAGCCTTCAGCCAGTGTTCTAACAGGATTCCACCTGGCATGCATTCCCTCAGCCTTACATGAAGTTTGACAATGTGTGGAATAAGCAAAGACTTGAAAATGAGAGAAAGCACACACACACACACACACACACACACAATGATGATGAGTTTCCTACCTATCCCCAGCTGACTGGGGCCATGTGTGATGGCTGGCCCTTTGCCTTGGCCACACCCTCTCAGGCTGGTAGTAATTTCTACCCTTGCCTCTTGTCTTCCTCCTGGTCTTCTAGATTCCTTATGCAGATGAGGTTAAGTTTCACATAGACATTTGCTTACGCACCATGCATGTGCATGTCTTCGTGGGTGAGTGTGCAATGGTGTTGGAGCAGAGGTCGGAGGACAACTTATTGGAGTCCATTCTCTGCTTCTACCATATGGGTTTGGGGGATGGAACTTGGGTTGTTAGGCTTGGTAGCAAGTACACACTGAACCATTTCCTTGACCCACATCAGAGATTTTTACTCCAGTTTTTGTTTGTTTTGTTTTGGAGGGTTTCTCTGTGTAGCCCCTGCTGCCCTGGAACTCACTCTGTAGAACAGCCTGGCCTTGAACTCAGAGATCCACCTACCTCTGCCTCCTGTGTACCACCACTGCTCAGCTTGACTCCAGTTCTAAAGGAAACACTGGAAAAGGATTCCCACAAAGATAACCTACATCTGACCACAGAGCACCCAACGCAAACAGAACTTAAAAGGACCGTCTTCAACACACTCAGACCACAGAGCACCCAACGCAAACAGAACTTAAAAGGACCGTCTTCAACACACTTAGGGGCTGTTTTCTCTCCCAGTCCTCTAAGACCATCAGGCTGCAATATTTTTGTTTTATGCCCATATAACCAAGAATGACCTTGAAATTCTGATCCTCTTACCAAATGCTGGGACAACAGGCATCTGCCACCCTGCTTGGTTTATTAGGTGCTGAGGGACAGACCTGAATCCCAGGACTCCATGCATGCTAGGTAGGTGCACTACATTGGACCTGAATCCCCAGACCCCTGGGATGTGCATTTTTGACAGTTTGTAGAGATCCAGGATAGTTGTCATCATTTTAGTTACCGAGTGCTACACTTGAGTAGGGCTTTCCAACTTAAAAAATAATTTAGGGCCGGAGAGGTGGCTCAGTGGGTAAAAACAGCTAGCTGTGCAAACCTGACGACCTGAGTTCAATTTCTAGAAATTTCAGTGGGGAGAGCAGGGAAAGAGCAGATTTCTGAAAGGTGTCCTCTGACCCTTACACAAGGGCTGCGGCACACTTCTGCCCACACTCACAGAATAATAATTAAAATAATCGAGCTCTCAGGAGTTTCCCTGCTTAGCCCACACGAAAATAACATTTCCCTGTGAGCTCCCTTTCTTCTGCGCTAAAGGACTGGTGCCTCCCACGTGCCGGGTGCCTTAGTTACTTTTCTCCGGCTGTGACCAGTCCTGATAAAAACAACTTACTGGGAGGTTTGTTTGGGCCTGGGTTAAAGGGGTTCCTTTATCAAGGACAGCACAGTGCCTGGCCACATTGTGTCTGTCATCAGGAAACAGAGAAAGACGAACACTGATGCTCAGCCAGCTTCCTCCAGACCCACAATTAGGGTGGGTCTTTCTTCTTGAGTCAAATCAACCCAGAAACTCTACAGAGGTTTGTCTCCTTGTGACTTCGACTCTTCCAAGTTGATAATCAAGAGTGAGTATTGCACTGGGCAAGTGCTCTACCATTCAGTTACAAACCAGCCTTATTTGCTATGTGCATATGTGTTTAAGGATTTATTTTTGCGTATTTATTAATTTACCATGTGGCCTCTTCTGGCCTGGAGCTTGCTATGTAGATGAGGTTGGCCTGGAACTCACAGAGATCCACCTGCCACCTGTCTCTGCTTCCCAAGTGCTAGGACTAAAGGTGTGTACTATAACACCCAGCAAGATTTATTTTGAAAACATATTTATTTGCCGGGTGTTGGTGGCACACACCTTTAATTCCAGCACTCAAGAGGCAGAGGCAGGCGGATCTCTGTGAGTTCAAAGCCAGCCTGGTCTACAGAGCAGGTCCTAGACAGGCTCCAAAACAATACAGAGAAACCCTGTCTTGAGAAAAAAAAGTATTTATTTATTTTATGTGTATGAGAGTTTTACCTGCATGTATGTATGTGCACTATGTGCACACCTGTTGCCTGCAGGGTCCAGCAGAGTGTCAGATCCCCTGGAACTGGAGTTTTAGAGTATGAAATATCTGTGGGTGCTGGAAATGAAACCCAGGTTCTCTGAAGAGCAGCCAGTGCTTTAAGCCATGCACATCACTCCAGCTTCATTACTTTGTTTTTAACTATATGTATGTCTGTGTATTATGAGTATGTGCATGTGAGTGCAGGTGCCTGTGGAGGCCAGAGGTATCAGAAATTCCTGGAGCTGCAGCTGCTGGCAGTTGTAAGTCACTTTAGATGGGGCCTGTGAACTGATCCCAACTCCTCACCCATCCACCTCTCCAGCTCCTTACCTGGTGCATAACTTGAAATATGAGTGTAAAAACTTATTTAATAAGTTCTGACATTAATGACAACAACTGGGTTAACGTCTAAGACTTACTACATACTAAATATATTTTTATATAGCACATGCTATATATTAAATATATATTATATAAATAACATAAAATCAACCCATTGTTATGAACATCTGGATGAATTGTTGGGAGTAACTGAAATTGAGGTACCATAAGTTTGAAGCTATTTCTTTATATACATTAAAAAATAAATTCAATTACAGGAACTCTGGAAGAGCAGCCAGTACTCTGAACCACTGAACCATCTCTCCAACCCTACATTTTAATTGTTACACATTCATATTCACTCAGCTATGCCACAGATGGGTGACTAAGTGACCCATAATGGAACATGTGAGACTCCTAGTTTTGCTGCTGACAGCCCTTTGATATATGAAAGATCAGCAGGCGATGCTTCCCACAAGGCAGGAAGGCTCCAGAGGCGAGCTTTCCTGCTAGGCATGCTTATGAAACATCTTAAGACATTTGAGAAGCAGAAAAAGAAAGGAGAGCCACGAGTCAGGGTGATTTTACAAGCCAGAGGGAAGGCATTAGCTGCAGTACAGACAGGAACATTAAGTGGATAACAGCTGCTGGCCTTAAGTTGATAACTGTGTGGATTTCCAGTTAAGGGACTGCTGCTTGCTGAGGATTCCCTCAGTCACTTATGGTCTGTAAACGAGCAAGTCAGATGAAATGCTGTAAACCCTCTGCACTTAGGAAGTACAGACCTTAAAGGGGTGGGGCGGGAACTCCATTCCAAACTTTCTGGCTTAGTCTTGTTTCTTATGAATGGTTTGTGAATGGCCAGCAGGCATTGCCAAGAGCTAACTGCCATTCTGGCAAAATGAAAAGAACTGACTTCCACAAGTCACACAAATGCATGCATGCATGAAAGCATGCACGCCCAATAATAAAGAACACTTGTTCCACACTCTTGGGACAAGAGAACAATAAAACCCAGATCCAGGGTCGGGCAGTGGTGGCACACACCTTTAATCCCAGCACTCAGGAGGCAGAGGCAGGTGGATCTTTGTGAGTTCAAGACCAGCCTGGTCTACAAGAGCTAGTTCCAGGGCAGCTTCCAAAGCCATGGAGAAACCCTGTCTCCAAAACCCCCTCAAAAAAAAAAAAAACCCAGATCCAGTGACTTCATTATGACTCTTGCTTGGGAACAGATGGTTGTGAGCCACCACAAAGGTGCTGGGAGCTGATAGATCAAGGGTTCTAACCTCTGAGTCATCTCTCCAGACCCCTGCCTTAGTCTTAAGACCAATGACAATTGAAGTAGTCAATAATGTCATAGACATTTGTCAAATTTTTTGTTTTTTCGAGACAGGGTTTCTCTGTGGCTTTGGGGCCTGTCCTGGAATTAGCTCTTGTAGACCAGGCTGGTCTAGATCCGCCTGCCTCTGTCTCCCGAGTGCTGGGATTAAAGGGGTGTGCCACCAATGCCCGACTTTGTTTTTGTTTTTTCGGAGATAGGGCTTCTCTGTTTAACAGTCCTGACTGTCCTGGTACTTCCTTTGTAGACCAGGATGGCCTTGAACTCACCTGCTTTGAACATCTGCCTGCCTCTGCCTCTCTAGTGCTGGGATTAAAGGAGTGCACCACCACTGCAGGTCGATCAACAATCATTTCACAGACACATTTGGGCCCTTGGGTCTCATGCATGCAGGCTGTTCTAGAACTCACTATGCAGCTGAAGCTGACTTTGAACACCTAATCCTCCTCTGTGGTGATTTGAATGGGACGTTTTCCCCTTAGGCTCATGTATTTGTACACTTCACCCCTGATTGGTGGTACTGTTAGGGAGGTTACAGGACCTGTAGGAGGTGGAGCCTCTCTGGAGGAAGTATGTCACTGGGGGCAGGCTTTGAGGGTTTATAGCCTCACCCCACTTCCAGTTTGCTCTCCCTGCTTCTGGCATGTACACAGAAACATGATCTTTCAACTTCCTGTTCCGGCCCCCTTATCCACTGTGTCCTGCTACCCCTCCCCATCCTCTGGAAGCCAAAATAAACACTTTCTTCCATGAGTTTTATTACAATGGAAAAGTAGCCAACCTTGGTTAGTCTTTTACCTTTTTTTGTTTGTTTGTTTGTTTTTCAAGACAGGGTTTCTCTGTATTGTTTTGGAGGCTATCCTGGAACTCTCTCTGTAGACCAGGCTGGCCTCAAACTCACAGAAATTCGCCTGCCTCTGCCTCCCAAGTGCTGGGATTAAAGGTGTGCCCACCAACGCCCGGCCAGCCTTTTACCTTTTAAAACTATCCATTGAGCAGCAGATGCGGTGCAGTGGTAGACTGCTTGATTAGCATGTGTGAGGCCCTGGACCTGAATTCCAACAGTGTCCCCGAAACACTCACAAATGTTAAATAACTGGGTGGGGTGGCCCATGCCTGTAATCCCAGCATCTGGAAAGTGAACAAGGGTATCTGAAGTTCAGGTCCTCCTCGCTATGTTTAAGGCAAGCCTAGGCTATGTGAAACCCTGTCTCAAAACAACTGAAATGTTGCAAACTCTAAGAAACCTCTGAGCTAAGGCCATTTCCAACAAAAGTATTAAACAAGCAGAAGTGATGAAAACGAATGGTCAGTTCCAAAATCAGTGTTGAGGTCAGTGAGATGGCTCAGTAGGTGACACACTGACTGGCTAGTCTGGAAACCTGCGCTTCATCCCTAGGACTGAGATGGTGGAAGGGGACAATCAACTTCTGCAAGTTGCCCTCTTATCAACAGACATGCCATGGACACTCACCCACGCACGCACAGATAGAGAGAGACAGAGACAGACAGACAGAGAGAAATCAAATTTTGTAGTCTGGATATATTACTTCGATTTTAAAAGTTGGTGATATCACTGGCATCTGACACCTAATGTTTCAGGACTGTGATGACTTACTCTCAACAGGGACTTGTCATTTTATAGCTACCCCCTCTTAGAACAGGTGCAATGAACGTACCCACGATCAAGGTGATGCCCATGCTCAGGGAGCAGATCCAGGCGGTCAAGCCACGGCTCTGGTGGAACTCTTCAAGCCACTCCACGTTGAGGACTCCCAAGGCCATCTGTGAGCCCATGACGAGGATGTGCACAAAAAAGGAAGACAGGACCATCATCCAGGCCCACCCGCCGTCAATGTCTGGGTGGGACTTCAGGGTCTTCTTAGCCTTGGGATCATCTTCAAAGTCATACCCCATATCTTCACGACTTGTATACATTTTCTAAGGTTTTCTGAAACACACACAGTAAATAATTTCATCACACACTGAAACAGAAAATACCGTCCTCATCTTCGGACAACTCTATCTCCCACTGTGATCAAAGCAGCTTCAGGGTCAAATGATGCTCAGATTAGTCTTCACCACTGGTGGATCTGGGGACACACTTTATATCTTTAGAGATGACTTTAAAGTCTGTCTTTATAATCACCTCACAGATATTATAAAGCTAAAGAAGGGGGAAGAGAGGGTCAGGAGACGAAGGAAGAGAGAGAGGGGGGGGGGGAGAGAGAGAGAGAGAGAGAGAGAGAGAGAGAGAGAGAGAGAGAGAGAGAGAGAGAGAGAGAGAGAACAAGTCCCCTGGATGTGATGGGTAAGACAGACTAGTCCTGATAACATCTGTTCTCTGAACCTGTCAGTAAATAGTGGGGATGGCAAGTTGAGTTTTATCTACAGTTTAATGTCTTTGGGGAACGAGGGAGTTAGCTTGCCGCCTGAGAATGGGGAGTGTGGAGACTGTAAAGGGGCCTAAATGTTCAGGATAACAAATGACTGTCGCCTACAGGTGGAAATGACTGTTGGGTAGTTAAAGTCAAGTGGCACTGCTGCAGGTTGGAAGCCAGGAAGCATCAGACAGCAAGCAGGGTGCCTGCTGCCCCAGTGCCTGTACAGGTGGAGCATTGCATATGGACAGATTGAACATGGAGAACTTAAAGTAACGCCAAATGAATACAGGTTGGGCTGATTTATTCTACTGCCACCGAGTGCCAGCAGTTGTAGACAAAGACCCCGTCAGAAACTCCTCTGCTCCACATTCCAAACAGCTCTGTGAGTTTTCACACTGAAGACATGCATGCTTCAGATCTGCCAGTTTTTATTACTCATATGTACGTGTGTCCAGTTGCATATGTGTTCTGCATGTGTTGATGCATACGTATGTGTGTATATATGGAGGCCAGAGGTTAACCTCTGGTATTGTTCCTCAGGAGATCTCCCACTGGCCTGGAACTCACAAATTCAGTTATACTGTCTGACCACTGAGTCCCATGGGGCTGCCTGTCTCTCCAGCACCCTAAGAGCTGGGATCACAAACGTGTGCTATCACGTTTGGGTGTGTGGACTGTGCATGGCATACATAGGCGGGTGACTGTGCATTTGGAGTTCACAGTAGGCCGTTGGATGTGTTCCTCTGGTCTCTGCCTTTGCTTTAAGACAGAGTCTCTCACTGAGTCAGAAGAATCTGGCCAGTGAGCTAATGCTGGGGTTACAGGCACAGGTGGCCATGCCTGGCTTTTTTCCCCCTTGACCTTGAGGCAGGGTTTCTTTGTGTAGCCCTGGCTGTCCTGGAACTCACTCTGTAGACCAGACTGGCCTCAAACACACAGAGATCCACATGTCTCTGCCTCCATGATTAAAGGAGGGATTAAAGGTGTGCCGCCACCTCATACCTGGCTTTTTACAAGGAATTGAACTCAGATCCTCGGTTTGTTCGACAAGGGCTTTACTGAATAAACCATCCCCCCAGCCCCTTATACTTATCTTTACTGCAAACTTACATGGCAGCTGCCTCAGAGAACTCCTAGTTTGACCTCACAAGTGGCCCCATCTCCCATGTTAGTTGGAGAGTAAGCTCTAAGAGGCTGAGCCATGGGCTCAGAATGATCCGGGTTACAGCCTATGAACTCGGGTGAACAGAGCTGATCATTTCTGGTTGACTGTACATCACCTCCCCACATGTCTGCCTGGAGAATTTACTTCTGTTTAAGTTTAAAACAGTGAAAAGGAGCCGGGTGTTGGTGGCACAAGCCCTTAATCCCAGCACTCGGGAGGCAGAGGCAGGTGGATCTTTGTGAGTTTGAGACCAGTCTGGTCTACAGGAGCTAGTTCCAGGACAGGCTCCAAAGCCACAGAGAAACCCTGTCTCAAAAAACAAAGCAAAACAAAACAAAACAACAACAACAGTAACAACAAAAAACAGTGAAAAGGAATGTCGGCATGGTGGTGCACCCCTTTAATCCCAGGATTTAAGAGGCAGAGGCAGGCGGATCTCAGCGGGTCAACATAGTGAGCTCCAGGACAGCCAGGGCTGCACAGCAAAACCCTGACTCTAAAAAACAAAACAAGAAACAGTGAAAAGGAGAGCAAGGCCGTTGAGGTGAAAGACTGGTTTGGAGAGTGGCATTTTCAGTCCATATATACAGCAACGGTTCCCTCACTTTGCCTATTTCCTTTGAAACTGAAGTCAGCTTTGATTTATGTTAGAACAGAAGGGATGTGGCTAAGTGGTAGTGCCCTGACCCACAGTGAGTGAAATCCTGGGTTCGTCCTCCAGTACCATATAAAACAAATATAAGACAGAAATCCAGAGGCTGGACAGATGGCTCAGTGCTTAAGAGGACTGGCTGTTCTTCCATGAGGCCCTAGGTTCAGTTCCCAGGACCCATGTCATGAGGTTCGTACTGCCTGTAACTCCAGCTCCAGGGCCTCCAAAGCTTTCCTCTGGCCTCTGCAGGCACTGCAGACATGGTGTACAGACATTCAGACCCACACACATGCATACACAATAAATCTTGTTTTTTTTTTAATAAAAGCATCTAAAAACATATAAGTAAAAATGTGGAGATCAACCAAGGAAGACACTTAACATTGATTTTTGATTTCCATGACTAAATGTACACATACCTACACATATGCCCACATACATGGACATGCATATATACAAAATAAAATGATATTTCCAATCTACAGGAAAATATTTTTCTGTGGAAATGTTAAGAACTTCATAGTCTTACTGAATTATTTATTTAAGTTTTGGTTTAAAAATATGGTTGTTACTGAACTGCTCTGGGCATTTCCAGTTTATTTAATCATAAGTAAATGTCAGTGATTAGCATGTAATGGACAATTTTACGCGCAAGAGGTCCAGGTGTGAACACAGAAAGTGGCATTGCATGCAGACGACTAAGCATGCAGGTGGATTAAATAACTTACTGAGACCTCAGGGGCCCCATCTGATCTCCCTGAAGGAACGGATTAAGAGGAATGGTAGAGCCGCGCGGTGGTGGCGCACGCCTTTAATCCCAGCACTCGGGAGGCAGAGGCAGGTGGATCTCTGTGAGTTCGAGACCAAGCCTGGTCTACTGAGCTAGTTCCAGGATAGCCTCCAAAACAATACAGAGAAACCCTGTCTAGAAAAACAAAAAACAAAAAAAAAAAGAGGAATGGTAGAACATGATTGTAATTACAGAAAACAGTAGGCTGAGACAGGAGGATTGCTGGAAATTTGAGACCATCCTGGGGCACACAGTATTTGTGTTAAGGGGGGATGACAAAACAGTATTATGGTGCATGCCTCTAGTCCTAGCACCTGGGAGGTGGAGGCAGAAGGATCAGGAGTTCAAGGCCACACTCAGCTACATAACAACCTAGGTCTCAAGAGACCCCCTTTCAAGAAAAACAAACACAGAACCAACAACAAAACCCCAAACCAAACAAAAAGAAAAACAAATGTTTGCATTTTATACCTATATCTTTCTAAAAGCAATCATTCCTTGACTTCACAATTCTTCCCATTGGGGTGGGCATGTGAGTTCTAAAACAGTTGAACATAGGCAATTTCAGGCCGGTAGAGGGCGCGCTCCAGAATAAGAGGCTGCTGAAAAGAAAGGCAGCCTAGTGTAGACAGCAGGAGAGTGAACCCCCCACCCCCGACTTCCATTGGGTGTGTGTGGGTGCTGGTGGTAAGAGAAATGCTTCCAATGGGCCAGGGCTGTGCTCGTGGATTTTGCCACGATGATCTTGGCCGGTTGAGGTCCCAAACGACCTCGTTTTACCGATAAGACAACTGAAACATGTTTGTGTGTTTGACAGGGTTTCACGTAGCCCAGGCTGGCCTCAGGCTGGAGGATGACCTCGAACTTCTCAACCCCCTGCAGGATGAGTGCTGTATTACAGTGCTGGATTTAGGCAGTGTTGGGGAAATTGAACCCAGGGTCTCATGCATGTACTTACCAACAGAGGTACAACCCTGGTCCTGAAAGTGAGTCAGTTGTTTAATGGGTGCCCTGTAAAGTCCGAATATGAACAAACCTATACTCAGTCTCAACCTCTTCTCCGCACCATCCCCCTCCCCTTCTCCCTTCCCTTCATCCCCTCTCCTCTTTGAGACCAGGCGAAGGAGAATTTTTCTAATCCCTAATAAGCATCCCCCAGCCATCCTTGCTAATGAGCCTGAGCCTGCACCAACTTTTCCGCAGGAAGAAAGGGCTTAATTGGTAAGAAGAGATGAGCTCATAAAATCTCGTCAGGCTGTGGCAGCCCCTGCCCTTTAATGGCTGTGCTGAGTCTTCACTGTCCCCTTTCCTCTCTGGAGATGCTGGATCTGAGCGGCTCCCGGGGGCTCAGCATCCACCGCCCTGGTCCATCCGCACGTGATGCTGTACCCTCCGAGCCTCCATCCCCACGAGGGCACCCCGACATATAGACACCCGCGCTCCCGGAGGTCGCTAGCAATAGCCCCATCACTGTCTACTTTGAGTAGCAAACTGGGGCCTCGAGAGCCCCGGAGCGCGAGGCCGGGCGCGGAGGCGACGCGCGTTCTGGTGTCAGGGAGGCGCGCGACGCCCTGGACCGTGCGCATCTCCGCCGGCAGCTCTGGGGGACAAGGGAGTACCGCCGCCCTGCCCAGGTCCTTCTCTTCCCCCACCCCGTGCCAGGTTCTCGCCCCGAGAGGGTCCCTGGTGGAGCCGTGGCCACCAGTATCGACCGGTATCTACCAGTATCTGCCGGCTCGGAGATGCTCCAACCCTGCAGTCCCTGGCCTCAGCTCAGCACAGCCCCAGAGTACTCACCGCACGCAGCCGGCAGAGCTACGGTCTCACTCGGCTACTGGTCTTAACCGGAGAACTTGAAGGTCCGCTCCTAGAAGCCCGAGCCGCTGGGCGTGGGGATTGGTAGAAATATCGACCAGCATCCTTCAGATGCAGCGCCTGGGGCTTGGCTCTACGCCCGACTCCGTGCGCTCGCTCGGTGCGGGGCTCCCGGACTCGAGCTCCTCTCGCTGTCTGGCCAGGTGAACCTTCTGGAGCCTAAGGCTCGATGCTTCAGTCCGGGAGCCTTTAAAAAGGGTGCGTTTGGAAGGATACGAGCCTACCCAGAGCTTCCTTCCAATCCATGCAATTTCAGATCTCCACGCTGGTTCATTCCTATACCGGCTAATTCTGGTTTGGCAGGGGAGGAAAAAAAAAATCTGCGGCTCCTCACAGGCACACTCTTGTGGCCGGTTGAAGTTTATCGCTTGGCTAAGACTCATCAATGCAGTGCACATTTGCAACCTTAGGAAATGGTCAGAAATCCCAGGGGTGTGGGGGAAATCAGAATTAAAGGCGGTGGTGGCGCACGCCTTTAACCCCAGCACTCGGGAGGCAGAGGCAGGCGGATCTCTGTGAGTTCGAGGCCAGCCTGGTCTACAAAAGCTAGTTCAGGACAGTCTCCAAAGCCACAGAAAAACTCTGTCAAAAAAAAAAAAACCGAAGAAAAGGAATTTCAATACTCATGGCCACAATGGACTGAAAATCACTCATCTTTGTCCCAGTCTGGGTACCTTCTCTTTCCATCTTTCCGAAGTACCTGCTATTTGCACTCATAGACCCGCAACGTAATGCTTTGCTCTCGGAGAGTTTTTAGTGTTTTGTTAAATAAATGAAACAGGCACTTTTTAACCTAACTAGACCGGTTCTGTACTTTCCTGCTGGAAATTACCACAAACATAGGGGCTGAAAGCAACACAAGTTTATTATTTTACGTTTCTGCCAGTCAGAACCTGAAGTGGGCCTTACTGGACTAAAATGCAGAGCTGGCACTCTGAAGGCTGTGTTCTTCCTGGCAGCCGTAGCTGAGGCACTAGCTTCTCCAGGCTGCGCACATGCCTTGGCTGGCGGCCACTTCCTCATCCTCAGAACCATCCACGTTGCATCGTTCTGTCTGTCTTGGGTACTAGGTCACTTTCTCCCCATTGCTTGCCCCTGTCTCTTCCTTTCCCATTCAAATTCTTTCAAGCATGTAGAATGTGTTTACTGGGTGTGTAGGTGCTTGCATGCCACAGTATGTGTGTGTTGGCCAAAGGACAGCTTTGGAAGGCAGTTTTCCTTCCACCCCGTGGGTTCTGGGGATTAGACAGGCTTGGTGGCAGAGACCCTTTACTGCTGAGCATTGTTTCCAGCCCCTTCTCTTCCACTTGGGGTTACCTTGATCCCGCTGGATAATTCACACATCTATTTTAAGGCCAGTTGACTAGCAATGTACTTCCATCTGCTACCATGATTCTCCGTCTGCCATTTAAGGTCACAAATTCCTGGGATTCGGATCTAGATTTCTTTGGTGGAACCAATTCTGCTGCCCACCATGGATTTCCTTTCCTCGTGTGTATTTTATATTGTTGTTGTCTTTTTTTTCAATTTTTGAGAGACAGCAGTTCATGTGCCCCAGGCTAGCCTGATAGTAGCTATGTAGCTGAGGATGGCTTTGAACTTCAGATCTCCCTGCTCCACTTCCCAAGTGCTGGGATTACAGGCACAGACCACCACAGTCAGTTTACACAGGGCTGGAGGTGAAACTTGGGACTTGGTGCATGCTAGGCAAGCACCCTCCTGCTTGAGTTCCATTCCCAGCCTTCCTAGATTTGTTTTAATACCTAGATGAGTGTGAGGGATGACTAAATGAGGACATTTGCAGGAACACTTCTCTGATGTTGGCAGCAGGACAAATGGATGGTGAGCACTCCCTTGAGCTGTTCTCAGATGTCATGCATTCCAAACAGGCTTTTGACAGCAAGTCAAGATTAGGAAAGCCAGGTGTGGAGGCTCACACTTACAATCCTAGCACTTGGATGGGAAGTTAAGGCTAGTCTGGGCTACAAAAGAGCTTTTTTTTTTTTTTTTTTTTTTTTTTTTTTAAGGTGGAGAGTTCCAAGCAAGTATCTCAAGTACAGATGATCCATCTGTTTTTTATTTTTATTTTTATTTTTTGGTTTTTCGAGACAGGGTTTCTCTGTGGCTTTGGAAGCTGTCCTGGAACTCGCTCTGTAGACTACCAGGCTGGCCTCGAACTCACAGAGATCCGCCTGCCTCTGCCTCCCAAGTGCTGGGATTAAAGGCGTGCGCCACCAACTCCCGGCTGATCCATCTGTTTTTTAATGAGGTTATGGATTGAATTGAGTGTGAGACATCCCCCACTGGCTCATGATTTGAAATTCCAGGCATTGGTGTTGTTTGGGGAGGCTATGGAAAGTTTGGGACACATGGTGTGGCTACAAGAAGTGAGTGGCTGTGGGCAGACTTTGAAGATGCTCTGCTTCTGTTGCTGGCTTGACCTCTCTATTTTTTGATCCACAGGAAGTAAGGAGATACAAACACACGATGCCATGGGTGTGGAGTCTCCCCTCGGCCACACCTTCTTTGCCACTGAAGATTTAGCTTGAAACCTTGAACTAAAGTAACATCCCCACCTCAAGTTGTTTCTGTCAGCATTTTGTCATAGTGAAAAGAAAACTAATGCAAGAGGTCCAAAAGATCAAGATCCCTTCCCTGGGCCTGGAATCTTGCATTTGTAGGAGTGTGATTTATCACAAATCTGGGGGGAACCATCACCTTATTCAAATAACTCCCAAACCTTCCCTGTGCTTCCTTCTATCTATCGGACGTCTCCAGGCAGTCTCTCACCTACCCAATAAATCTATTTTTAATATAAATAATTGCAATGCAAGCCTGGCATGGTGTCCCATGCCTATAATCCTAGAACTCAGCAGGCAGAGGCAAGCAGATCTTTATGAATTGGAGGTCACTTTATATACATTGTGAGTTCCAAGATTACCAGAGCAACACAGTGAGATCCTGTCTGAAAGAAAGTTAATATATATATACATACACACTGCAATAAAGGCATTCAGACTGGGAAGGGAAATGTAAAATTATCTCTAATTTCAGGTGATATGATTATATGTAGAAAATGATGGAAATCCATGAAAACATTAGGACTAGTCAATGGGCTCAATGAGGTGTCAGCAACAGTTTCATTGGTAATAGCATCAAAAAGAACTTTCAAGTTGGGAACCAAGTTCAGTGAAGTACTGCATTCTGAACCTCTGTACAAGAGGATATTGACAGAAACAGAAAAAAAAATGGAATGAATGTGGAACTAGAGAGATGGCTCGGCAGTTAAGAGCACTGGCTGCTCTTCCAGAGGACCCGGGTTTGATTCCCAGCACCCACATGACAGCTCACAACGGTCTGTTATTCCAGCTCCAGGGGGTCTGACACCTTCACATACATGCAGGCAAAACACTAAATGCACATAGAAATAAATAAATCTTTAAAAAATTGAATGAATGCATACATCTCTCTGGGCACCAGCAGCCTCCAGTCCCAGGACGTTTCTGTAAGTCTAGCTTGTCCAGTTGGGTCCCCTACAAGAGAAGGTCACAAACATATTGTGCAGGAAGAGTGCCAGTATTAGGAAACTCATCACACTGTGTGATTGGCCATGGTGTAACCACAGCACTGTCCTGCCCCTGGTGAGGCCGTTGACCATGCATGGCAGAAACCAGGAGTGCGTGGTGCTTAGGTGCCTAAGTCAACTGGACCTGAGCAGGAAGCAAACTCTTCTGTCGTGCATCTATAGGACTTGGCCATTGACCCCAAAGTGTGGATAGTCACGATGGCCACATTATAGAGTTAGTGCAGAGGTTAAATGGTACTGTGTGTGCCAAGCATTCTGTGCCTATATTGCTAAGGAATATGTTTCTGTTTCTTTAAAAAGATTTTTTTAAACTGGGCGGTGATGGATCACGCCTTTAATCCCAGCACTCAGGAGGCAGGAGCAGGCAAATCTCTGTGAGTCCGAGAGGCCACACTGATCTACAGAGTGAGTTCTAGGACAGGCTCCAAAGCTACACAGAGAAAGTCTGTCTCAAAAAAATAGAAGGGAAAACTTAAAGACATTTTAAGAGTATGTGTGTCACGGCGGAGGGTACATGAATGTGCACGCACAAGAGTGCATATGGGAGCAAGTGACCACAGAGGAAAGAGGTGCCAAGCCCACTGGAGCTGGAGTTACAAGCACCTGTAAGCTGCCTGTGTGGATATGAGGGACCCAACCAGGGCTCTCTGTAGTAGGTGTAATATAGTAGTAGGTACTCTTAAACACTGTGTCATCTCTCCATCCCCTGGTTTTTTTCCTAAAGAATGGCCTGGGGGAGGGGAGAATAGCCTACAAACTTCAAGGATAAAATTATCCAAAATACTGGTGCACTTTCTTCCCTTGAATTAGGATCTAGGATCTGGCTATGAATCGCAAGCTAGCCTGAAACTCAATCATCCTGCTTTGGCTTCCTGAGTTTCAGAATTCCAGGCACTCACCACCATGCTCAGTCACATTCCTTTGGTACCTATCCTTTTTGAGAGGCAGCATAAACCATCAGGACAATCATAAGACTTGAAGACTGCTGGCACATGCCTTTAATCCCAGCACTCGGGAGGCAGAGGCCAGGTAGATCTCTGTGAGTTCGAGGCCAGCCTGGTCTGCATAGCAAGTTCCAGGGCAGCTGGGAATACACAGTGCAAGGCAAAAAAACAAACCAGAGACTCTTTGGCCTCGGTGAAATTTCAGTTCTCCTCATTTATTTCACATCTTTTATTTGGGTAAGGGGTGGGAGTGAGGTTGTGTTTAATGTGACATTAGTGAGAGAGTAAACTCCAGGAGCTGCCGAAGCAACTGTAGAAGCCACTGAGGTGCCCAGCTAGGCTAAAGCCAGTTCAGTCTGTAGGAAGTGAAGGAAGACTCTCACCAAGGCCAACGGGGTGACATTGCCAACTGGGATTTACACATCAGTGGGAAGCATAAAAACCAATGTAAAGAATGTTGGTGCATTGGCTATTGTTGACCCCCCAGGCAGACGGTATAGGTGAGAAGCCATCAGTAAATGCCTAAATCTCCCCAAATGTACAAGTTTACAAAAACAAGCCTAGCTGGGCGGTGGTGGCGCACACCTTTAATCCCAGCACTCGGGAGGCAGAGGCAGACGGATCTCTTGAGTTGGAGGCTGGGTTGGGCTGACAGCCTCCAAAACAATACAGAGAAACCCTGTCTCGTAAAACCAAAAAAACAAACAACAACAACAACAACAACAACAACAAAAAACCCCCAAAAAACAACATAAAAACCAAAACAAAACAAAAAACCAAAAACAAGACTCTTGGGCCCTGCTGAATATTTGCTTTTGGGCAGAGAAGATCTCCATTTTATGCTTAGGCCTTCTTTCTCCTACTGCAGTTTCATGTGAGGGAAAAGTAATTCTTTTTCTTTTGTATTAGTTTTAAATTTTGATTTGTCAAATTTCACCTCCGACAAGTCTGACTTATCACTCATCTTTTTTTTTATCTTATTTTTTTTTTAATTTTTGGTTTTTCGAGACAGGGTTTCTCTGTGGCTTTGGAGGCTGTCCTGGAACTAGCTCTTTTGTAGACCAGATTGGTCTTGAACTCACAGAGATCCGCCTGCCTCTGCCTCCCGAGTACTGGGATTAAAGTCGTGCGCCACCAACGCCTGGTTTATCACTCATCTTGATGAAAAGAAACACTGCAGGCCGGAGGGCGCATGCAAGAGGAGGCTCTTCACACCTTTTAATGATTCTTTTTACCTCTTTTTACCGCAGTGTAGTGGCGCACACCTTTAACCTCAGTACTTGGGAGGCAGAGGCAGGTGGGATGTCTGCATTTGAGGCCAGCCTGGTCTACATATAGTGAGTTCCAAAATAGCCAGGGCTACATAGAGAAACCCTGTCTCAAAAAAAAAAAACCAACATCTATGTGTCTTTTTGCCTGCTTGTTTGTTTATTTGTTGTTGTTGTTTTTCTGAGGCAGGGTTTCTCTGTGGCTTTGGAGGCTGTTCTGGAGCTAGCTCTTGTAGACCAGGCTGGTCTCAAACTCACAGAGATCCACCTGCCTCTGCCTCCCGAGTGCTGGGAGTAAAGGTGTGCACCACCAACGCCCAACTGTTTATTTGTTTTTTGAGACAGGATTTCTCTAAGTAACTGTCCTGGTTATACTGGAACTTACTTTGTAGACAAGACTGGCCTTGAACTCACAGAGATCTGCCTGCCTCTGTGCCCCACGTGTTGGCATTAAAGACATGTGCCATCACCACCTGGTCTCTATCTGTCTTTTTAAATCTCAGGTTTATTTATGTTTATGTGTAGGCATGTGTTGCCTGTATGTAGTATGTATGCTTACCTCATGTGTGCCTGATTCCTTCTGAGATCAGAGAAGGAGTTGGTTGCAGGTGATTGGTGGCCACCCTGCAGGTGCCGGGAATCAAACCTGGGTCCTCTGCATGAGCAGCCAGTGCTCTTAACCACCGAGCCTGCTCTCCAGTTTGGTGTGTAGGATCCTTAACAAAGATTATAAGGCATAACATCTGATGACATATATGTCAATCAAGCCTATTGATTGACATTATACAGAATAATTGCCCAGGACTCTTCCACAAGGTCAGTGTCAAGGGGATGAGGCACGTGACTCAGAGGTGGAGCAGTTACCCAGCACACATGAGGCTCAGGACTGCAAAACAAAATCCAAAAGAATTAAAGTGCCCTGAAAAACCAATATTTGAAAGTGGCCCAGATTAAAGGAGACACAGACATGACATTTAGTGGCAGTGTGTGGGCCTGGGTCACTTTAACCGATAATGAGTCCGCTGGCTTCATCTGTCTATGGTCTAGAGACTGGGTAACAGGGATGTTGTTCTGTTTGTCTTTGGAGCTTTGAAAGTGATGACTAGTACTGGGGTTCAAGAAGACACCTGTTTCATCTCTGTAAAATGTTCACCAAGGTGTGACAAGTACTGAATGCTAGGCACTAGCCCTCTATGGGACTCAGTTATTTTTAATAGTCCTCCCGCCCCCTCAGTGTTGAATTCCCTGTAGTGGTCCACGTTCCCTTGCTGTGGTGGTTTTAAAAAACCCAAAGGAAGTGGCACTAGTGGGGGATGTAGCCTTTTTGGAGTAGGTGCGATCTTGTTAGGGGAAGTATGTCACCGTGGAGGCAGGCTTTGAAGTCTAAAATGCTCAAGCCACGCATAGTGAGCCAGACCACTTCCTGTTGCCTGTGAGTCAAAATGTAAGAGCTCTCAGCTCCTTCCCTAGACCAGGTCTGCCTGCATGTTGCCATGCTTCCCGCCATGATGATATGGACTAAACCTCTGGACTCTAACCAAATGTTTTCCTTTAGAAGAGTTGCTGTAGCCACAGTATCTCTTCACAGCAATAGAAACCCCAAGACACCTGCTGACCTTCACTAATAGTGTTGCCAGAAACCAGCGTAGTCTGTCTGCTTTGCTTTTCCTGTTTGCCAGCCTTTGCCTCTCCGTCTTGTGCGTACATATTGCCAAGAAGCCTAACTAGAGCCTGAAGAAGATACAGCCAAAGGATGCCAAGGACCAGTCAAAGAGGAAGTCTCTGTTTGGAGTTAAATGGTCTCTCTCTCTCTCTCTCTCTCTCTCTCTCTCTCTCTCTCTCTCTCTCTCTCTCTGTCTCTGTCTCTGTCTCTTTTTGGTTTTTCGAGACAGGGTTTTCTCTGTATTTTGGAGCTTGTTCTGGAACTCACTTGGTAGACCAGGCTGGCCTTAAACTCACAGAGATCTGCCTACCTCTGCCTCCTGAGTGCTAGGATTAAAGACGTGTGCCACCAACACCTGGCTGTTAAAAGGTCTCTTTTTTCAAGATTTACTCATTTCATTTTATATGTATGAGTGTCTGCCTGCATGTATGTCTGTGTACCGTGTACATGGTGCATAGTGCCTGTAGAAGCCAGAAGAGGGTGTTGGATGTCCTGGAACTGGAGTTATAGACAATTGTGAGCCCGGTATGTGTGCTGAGAAGCAAACCCAGGTCTTCTGCAAGAGCGGCAGGTGCCTTTATCCTCAGAGCCGTCTCTCCAGCCCCTAGTTCCTGTATTTTTAAAAGCAGACATTATTTTCCTGCAAGTTAAACTTCACAGAAAATTATAGAACTAAAGGCTAAGGAAGACTAAGGGTGGGCGTGGCTTGCAAAGGTCATCAGATAAGCCCTGGCATAGAGACTCCTGCCGCAAACTCAGCGCTTGGGGATTCAGCACAGGAAGATCCAGAATTCAAGGACTGCAGTGGTTACAAAGCCAATTTGAGGCCAACCTGAGCTACAGAATAAGGCCCCAGCTGAAAAAAAAAAAGAAAAAGAAGCAACAAAGGTCAGCTTCGGGAGCCGCCGGATACCGTTCAGACATAGCCAAGTCCAAGAACCACACCACACATAACCAGTCCAGGAAACAGCACAGAAATGGCATCAAGAAACCCGGATCATCAGCACTTGGAAGGCAGAGGCAGGCGGGTCTCTGTGAATTCGAGGCCAGGCTGGACCGACAGCCTCCAAAACAATACAGAGAAACCCTGTCTCGTAAATACCAAAAAAAAAAAAAACCAAAAAACAAAACAAAAACAACAACAACAACAAAAAAACCAAAAAACAAAAACAAAAACAAAAAAAACCCCGGATCACAAAGATATGAATCTCCTAAGGGGGTTGACCCCAAGTTCCTGAGGAACATGCGCTTTGCCAGGAAGCACAACAAGAAAGGCCTAAAGAAAACGCAGGCAAACAGTGCGAAGGCAATGAGCGCACGCGCAGAAGCCATCAAGGACCTCGTGAAGCCCAAGGTGGTTAAGTCCAAGATGCCAAAGGGCCCCAGCCGCAAACTCAGCCGCCTTGCTTTCATCGCTCACCCCAAGCCTAGGAAGGGGAATAGAATCTACAAGGCCCAGGGTCGTAGGATCTGCCAACCAAGGCCCAAGTTTCAAACCAAGGCAGAGGCCTCTGCTCCAGCTAAGGTCCAGTCTTCAGCTCAGGCTTCCAAAGGAGCCCAGGCCCTGTGAAGGCCCCATAGAAAAGGTTTCTGCCACTGTGCAGACAGATGGACTGGTGTGACATACCTACACCCTATCTGCAGGTGATCGTGCCCTGTGCTGTTTTCACAAATAAACTTGAGGCAAGACCTGTTTAAAAGAAAAAAAAGAAAAAAGAAAAAAACAAGGGTCATCAAATGTCCTGCCTGGTTCTGTAAATCTAAACGATTTAGCAGTGATTTTTTTGTAGCCATTTAGGTGTGGCTTCCCTTTAAACTTAGAATGCAGGTCCTAGGGGAGGGGGAGCAAGGAGGCGAAGGGGAGTGAAGGAAACTAAAAGTTGCCCCAGTGTTTTTGCTGAGCTTGTCTCCTCTGCTTTGTTCTCTGGGAACCAAATTTTTCCTAATTGCCTGTGGCAAACAGCTGCTCTGGGCAAACATCACTTCACCTCCTCAGCGAAGACATTAGCTTCTCTGTGCCCTGTTTCGTGAGGATCCATCCTGGGACTAGAGAGGCGTGTGCTTTTCTTTTCTTTTTTTTTTTTTTTTTTTTTTTTTGGTTTTTCGAGACAGGGTTTCTCTGTATTGTTTTAGAGGCTGTCCTGGAACTCACTCTGTAGACCAGGCTGGCCTCGAACTCACAGAGATCCGCCTGCCTCTGCCTCCCGAGTGCTGGGATTAAAGGCATGTGCCACCAACGCCCAGCCCTCGTGTGCTTTTCTTTAAGTTTGCTCCAGACCATTTGAAAAAAGCATCACAAATGTTGTGAGTGATTCAGTTAGAAACAGATGAACACATCGGTGTCTTTCCACAATGTCAGAACTTAACGAGTAAGGATAAATTCATGTGATATGTTGCTTTTTGTTGGGAGCCCTTTTGCCAGTGATTTCCCTGATTGCCAGCCAACGCAAACATGGGTTTTTTATTCCAACCTTAGCTGCTAATCACATGTCACCCTGTAAATGTATCTGTACGTATGGAAGTTACAGGCACCACAGTGGAGTTCAAGGAGTTGGAGAAGAGACTGGGCACAGGTTGAAGCTGGACACTGATGGATCTGCAGAAGAGTCTGGGGTGGAGGCGGTCAGATGTCAGCCTGGGAGAGCTGGCTAGATCTGCTGTTGTGGAGCCAGGCCGTGGAGTCAGAGTTGACCCAAGCTTCAGGATTAAGTCGGCCTACAGAAGTGAGGTGTGGGGCTGCGGGAGCCATAGAGGTAAAGTCCGGGCGGGTTAACAGGGAGGTGGGTGAGCAGAAGTTTAATAGGCCCTGAACTGTGGCTCTTGGGACAGTTGGGAGTTCTTTATCTTTCTGCCGTTTGACCCTGTGGTCAGGGACAGGCTGGTGGGGCCACTGCCATTGAGTGTGAAGTGTCCTCTTTGTGGGGTCAAAGTGAGGGAGCTGCACCCCTTCTTTAGTCTGGCGTGCCTGGTAATCTTAAGGCCTGGTTTTCCTGCTATGATTTTTTTTTTTTTTTGAGACAGGGTTTCTCACTGACTTTGGAGCCTGTCCTGGAACTCACTCTGTAGACCAGGCTGGCCTCAAGCTCACAGAGATCCACCTGCCTCTGCCTCCTGAGTGCTGGGATTAAAGGCGTGCACCACCACCACCACCACCACCACCACCACCACCACCACCACCACCACCACCACCACCACCACCACCAGGCGCCTGCCATGATTTTACTGTGCCCATGTGTTTTTATAAACTCAACTTACTTTGATAAATTTATAAAGTGGCAACCTTTCAACTTAGAAATAGGTTTCTTTCTTTCTTTTTCTTTTTTGGTTTCTTGAGGGAGAGTTTCTTTTAGAAATAGATTCTGTGTCTGGTGGGTAGTAACAGACAGATGACGTTGCTCATGTGTCAACCAAAGTGCAGAGACATCTTGCCTCTATATTTATACTCAAAATGGAGTCAAAAGCTGCTTGTAAAATGGAGCCACTCAGCCGGGTGTTGGTGGCGCACGCCTTTAATCCCAGCACTCGGGAGGCAGAGGCAGGCGGATCTCTGTGAGTTCGAGGCCAGCCTGGTCTACAGAGTGAGTTCCAGGACAGCCTCCAAAGCCACAGAGAAACCCTGTCTCGAAAAAAAAAAAAAACAAAAAAACAAAAAAATGGAGCCACTCAGGGCAAGGCAATCCTGGAAAGCCTCTTGTTTATACACTATGTGGTGGCTTAGGACAGGTATTCTTGTTTGTTTGTTTTTTTAGTGGCTTGACACAGCTAGAGTCATCTGGGAAGACAGAACCCTAATTGAGAAAATACCTCTATCAGACTGGCCTGTGGGCAAGTTAGTGAGGCATTTTCTTCATTAATGATTGACATAGGAGGGCACAGACCTCTGTGGGTGTCAGTGACACTCTGACCTCAGTCTGCCTCTCAGCTGGAGAGTTCTCAGAATGCCCTGGACTGACCCGTCCCTTTGTTCCTTCTCGTGCAGCTGCCACAGTCAGCATGGGGTCCAGATGTTCTTCCTCCAGATGTCTCTGTAAGGGACCAGGGCTTATCCAGCATTGCAGAGAAGCATAATACTGTGTGGCTATGATCCTGGGTTCTGTCTTGCCTGAGCTCCCAAGGTGGCTCTGCCATTCATTAGCATTCATTGGGCATTTTACCTAACATTTCTGGTTTCCGTTTTTTTCTTTTCTTTTTGAGTATATTAGAATGAAAATAACACTTGTTTCATCGAATTGTTGGGAGGAATAAGTAAAACATGGAAAGAGAGGGCTGGAGAGATGGCTCGGAGGTTAAGAGCACTGGCTGCTCTTCCAGAGGTCCCGGGTTCAATTCTGAGCACCCACATGGCAGCTCACAACTGTCTGTGACTCCAGTTTCAAGGGGTCTGACACCCTCACACCAGTGCACATAAAGTAAAATATATAAAGAGAGTGGAGCCGGGTGTTGGTGGCGCACGCCTTTAATCTCAGCACTTGGGAGGCAGAGGCAGGTGGATCTCTGTGAGTTTGAGGCCAGCCTGGTCTACAAGAGCTAGTTCCAGGACAGCCTCCAAAGCCACAGAGAAACCCTGTCTCGAAAAAACAAAAAAAAAATAAAATAAGAGAGTGGAACAGTGCCTGGCTTAGAGTAGCTATGCATAGCAGCTCTCAGCATCTTCACTGGCTTCCCCCTCCTCCTCCTCCTCCTCCTCCTCCTCCTCCTTGTCCTCCTCCTCATCACTGTTGTTATCTCTATCCTTCACTCTCATGCATTCAATAATACTCTCAGAATGTGACTGTGAGCCAGACACTGCTCTAGATGGTGGGATTACAGTAATGACACAGGCCAGGTCCCTGCCCTTGTGATATCCATGCTGAGGGAGAGGGAAATGGAAGCAAGCCAGCAACATGACTGACAGTGATAACTTCAGAGAAGACAGAGTGACAGATAGATTATGTGATGGAAAGGGACTCAGAGCCTCTTAGAGGTATTTTTCCTTTTTTGTGTGTGTGAACCCCTTGTTCTTGTATGTGTGTGTTGGGGGGTTTAAAGGCACTGGACACCACTGTCCAACAAACAGTATGTAGCCCAAGCTGGCCTCAAAGTCATGATACTTCTCCTTCAGCCTCCTTCAGCAAATCCTACCAGCGTGTGACACCTCAACTGTCTGGTTTTTGTTTTTAAAGATGTTATGTTTTTCTTTTGAGACAGGGTTTCTCTGTGTAGCCCTGGTTGTCCTGGAACTCCTCTGTAGACCAGGCTGGCCTCAAACTCAGAGATTCACCTGCCTCTGCCTCCCGAGTGCTGGGATTAAAGGCGTGCACCACCATGGCCCGGCAGCCTGGTAAATATTATGTAAAAAGTCAGTCAGGACCCAATTCTCACTCTTGCATTGAATGTAACTTTTTTTAATATTAAAAGAAAAGTCTCGCCTGGTGGTGGCAGTGCACACCTTTAATCCCAGCACTCGGGAGGCAGAGGCAGGTGAATCTCTGAGTTTGAGGCCAGCCTGGTCTACAAGAGCTAGTTCCAGGACAGCCTCCAAAGCCACAGAGAAACCCTGTCTCAAAAAAAAAAAAAAACATTACCAGGTAATCCGGTATCTTTCATGTGATAATGGTCTGCTCATCACTTATTAATTACCTTAAGAATATCCCACTCTTAAATCTAAAACTCACTTTACCAGTGTGTCCTAATGACAACTTCTCTACAGTGTATGTACAAAGATGCTGACTGCTTCTTTAAATCAGTGAAAGAAGAATTCTAAGAAATTTAGCCAAATGCTGGGAAATAAAAATTAACTGTGGCCGGGCGTTGGTGGCGCACGCCTTTAATCCCAGCACTCGGGAGGCAGAGGCAGGCGGATCTCTGTGAGTTCCAGGACAGCCTCCAAAGCCACAGAGAAACCCTGTCTCGAAAAACCAAAAAAAAAAAAAATTAACTGTGGCTGGGGGTGGTGGTACACGCCTTTAATCCCAGCGCTCGGGAGGCAGAGGCAGGCAGATCTCTGTGAGTTCAAGACCAGCCTGGTCTACATAGCAAGTTCCAGGAAAGACTCCAAAGCAATGCAAAGAAACCCTGTCTCAAAAAATCAAAAAAGTTTAATAATAATAAAAAAATTAAATTAATTGTGAAAACTGACATGAAGAAACTACCTGCAACTTCTTATAAATGAAGATGCTTGCCAGGTGGTGGTAGTGCCTTTAATCCCAGCACTTGAGAGGCAGAGGCAGGTGGATCCCTGTGAGTCTGAGGCCATCTTGATTTACAGATCGAGGTTCAGTACAATCAGAGTCACACAGAGAAACCCTGTCTTGAAAAATAATCAAAAAAACAAAAATTGTGTGCATGTGTAGAAGTGAGAAGACAATTTACAGGAATTAGTTCTCTCTTTCCACAGTTTGAACCTGAGGGATTGAACTCAGGTCATCAGGCTTGGCTGCAAGTGTTTTTCCTGAGGCATTTTGTAAGACCTTTAGAGGGACAGGACTCACTACTTTCCTCGTCCCCGTACTGCATGCTGAAGTACATTCCCTAAAAGTCCCCTCAGAGGCTCTTGGAGAGCAACGATGGCTAGCACTGATGACTTGACAG